CAAACAATAAAAAATCGATTTTGTTGCTAACGACTATCTGTCAGATTTCTGAACTTAGGATTCCTTTGAATCGCAGTATATTATAGAAATGGTAATACGAAAGTAAGTTATTGTTCCTTAGGAGAGCTTGTTTACTCTTAGCGATAGCAGGATATTATTATCGATGGAATAGAATACAGACATGCCCCATACATATATATGAATTTGCTGCATGTGGATAATACTTGATTTCATCTTACAGATATGAGGATTTTCGGGTGTACACCAGTCTACAAAAAGTTTGCTAGTTTTTAACACGTCAGAGAAACGAATGAATTTCACCGAAATAAATAAAAATTCCAAATCAATCTTTGAAACATTAGTACAATTCACGAAGTTTAATGAACCATGAGAAATGAAGATTTTTATGGTAGTTTTGACTCTTCAAGTACTGAAAGATGTAGACAAGTAAAGTAGCCTCTGATAAGTCAGTTAAACTAGCAAAGTCAACGGAAATCTAACAAAACTTGAAAACCTTTTGAATTATAAGAATTTAGGCAAAAACTCAATGAAGTCGCAGCAGGCTTTTCGAACTTAAACTAGATTTGTTAGCACTTTTCGTTCAAAAAAACACAATATTCTCCTCAATTTTTAATGGCAGATGTTCTTCTTTCCTTTTTTCCTACAAACACTTGATGGGATAACGTTCATATTGAAAATTGTTAAGCATTAGTACAAAAGAAATATATAAGTTTGATTATGCTTTGAAGTTAGAAAAGATTGTTTTTGAATTGGAGTAGGTGATTTTACATGATTTACTGTGGGTTAAGATGAATTTAGGTGAGTTAGGTGAGTTAATTTTGATTTTAAGCTGATTTAAATCAATTGCTTCTCCCTTGATCATATCTCACACTAAGGCAGTGCTGTGTGCATACAGACTTTTTTTCTCTTTTTTTCTGTTCTAAGAATGTTAAAATATTTTTTTCGAATAGATGTGCTTTTCATTCGGTAAATCAGTTTGTTTTCATATTAATGTTCTTGATTTTTATGACGGTTTCTGATTACTGTTCTTGTTGCTTCTTACTCGTAATATCTTCTTATTAAAGGAGTTATTTGCAATAGAAAAAGAAAAGCTGCATTATTTTATTTTATTTTCCATCATCTGCATTGACGAATTAATTTGGTCATCGTTATGCTTTCTCTAGGGTAATGCTAATATTAATTATCTTTAGTAGCACAGTCGGGAAAAACTAAATGATCGTAGCAGTCTACTTACGTTGAAATAAGGTCGTCAACGTTTAATAACTCTTTTGGTTTGATAAATGATTCGGTATACTTCGTAAAAATTACTGAATGAAAGTGACTGAGTTTTATTAATCGACGCTTTCTCTCAAATATTATTTTTTATCGTGGTGTTTACTTTCATCGTTCGTTTGTATTATCGGTAGCACATGGCAAGCAACGGTATTCTCTACTATCGAACGAAATTACATAGGAGTATGAAGGACAAAAGGGTAGAAAACTAACAATAGCAGTTATGAGTAAGATTTTAAAAAAATCATCCGAATTCTTTGGATTTTTCTGATTGATAAATTAGACATAATCATCATATCATGTTGATTCTCTAAGGAATTAAATATAGTTGGTATCATTGAATGTGAACAATTTTCAATATGATTTTATTGTTTCGCTTCATTGGTTTCGCTTTCTCTTCACATAAGCAAAACGGTAAGCAAAAAAAAAGACAGAGATGGAAAGAAAGACAAGATGACAAGCAATGATTGGAAGGGGACTGTAAGTAATGTTGTGAATATGCTTGACGCATTTCAATTAAAATGCTGTCAAAATACACTGTATCGACAATAGTCAGAAAAAAACAAGCTTTTTGAGATGATAGGTGTAGGTGTAGGTGTGGGTGTGCGAATGTAGGTTTGGACAAAGATGAAATAGAGACTTGCATTCACACCCAACTCACCCATACCCTACAAAAACACCTGAATTTATTTATATAAACAACTTGCAAATTGGAAAATGCAGGTGTAGAATCCCAGCATATCAACACTAGTTCAGTACCTTTTAGTATTGAAGCTTAATAGTAGTATTCACAGAGTTGCTAAATACGATAAAAATTGAGGTTATATATAGGATATGGGTGTAAGTACTGAGAAGACCCATCACTCCACACTAGAGATATGTGGGACCAAGTTTTTATGGTCCCGGTCCTGGTCAATTTTTATTTTTTGGTTCCGGTGATTTTAGTTTATTTGTTGCCTGTTTCAGTTTACATAAAACTACTGCAGAATTTATTGGTTCCACGTGTAAACATTTTTCGATTCTCATTTTTTTGATTTCTTTAGTTGACTATAGATATGTGCGAGACTAAGATTATTTGGTTTCGGTCCCGTTGCGACTCGGGAGCTTCCTTTTTGCGCAGCCTGGACCGTAGTCAAAGTAAATCCAACATGTTTCTGATAGAGCTGACCGCCCATGTACACAAAATAGGAAAAAATCTGATTATAATCGTTTTTTTTGTGATTAAAGATCGACCCTAACGGCACTATTTTAATCACATTTCTAATCAAAATAACGATTAAAATCAATTAGGGGTGTGGGTATGGGCTACATGGACTTGTATGGTCAGCCCCACACCTACACCCACACTCACACCCCACACCCAAAATTTCCGATCACCAATAAGACTATGTCGACGACAATCATCATTTGCTTCTCTTCATTTTTTTTCGCAACCATTCCATGTAACTAAAATCTCCAAAAGATACTATTGATTTCTATCTCTTTACAAGGAATTTTTTTTCAACTCTTCCTCTCACCATTATTGCATTCGAGTAGAGGAGAAGAAAGAAAAACCAAACTGTTGCAAAATAAATGTTCCTTATTTCTGCTAGGCCAATGTCTGTCTCATCATTAATGTGTATATTTAATCAGCAAGTTCCTAAAAGTACACAAATTGATATCCCTCTCTATTGTACACACTAAGAAAAATTGGTACTTTACGGAACCTTCCGAAAATGTTCTCGGAGGTGTGTGGAATCCAAAAAATGGGTTTTCAGATTTACGAAACCTTTAAAGGTTTTGTAAATCTAAAAATTCATTTTTTTGATTCCACACACCTCCGGGAACATTTTCGAAAGGTTCCGTAAAGTACCAATTTTTTTAATGTAGGTCAAATTCTATATTGTCACAGACACTTGAAGATTGTACTCTTCGATCTCGTGGCAGATCATTACGAAAACGAGAATACCTTTATGTGCATGTAAAATGGCGCCATTGTGTTTCATATCTTGATCCCACAGGGATTATTCCGAAAATTGTTACATTTATTTTAAAAGAACATCATTAGTCTAGAGCCGTCAAGATCAGCAGGTTCTTTACGTCGTTCACAATCAACGAATGAATGAAATTAAGTCAAGAATATTTATACGAGTGAACTTGAAACATATTAAGAGTAATCTCTCTTGCATTAAACTAATTTTTCTGCTCTTCATTTTTATTACTTATATTCATTGATAGTTTTTATGCCAATTGTGATTATATTTGACAAGCTTATTTGCAGCAGAATTGAAATAATCATCAAAATAGTGCTCGTTTTCAGATACACACTTCTGACTAACGATAAATATCACTCGACAGTTTGATTGCTCATATATTTATGTGATAGATGCATATACGGAATAAATGTCTCTAACATCAAGTGTGCGAGAGTAGAAAAAGATTTTCTATGATACACATCTGTTGGTTCAAGATAAAAATTAGTCCCAACATTTATCAATTGACATATAACTTACACTTTTTTTGATATCGAGATAAAATAATGCAAATATCTCGATAGGTGAGACATGACTGACGTCATAGCGCTGACATAATCATATGTCCACATTCATCAGAATTACATATTTTCTCTTTCTCGCTCAAACAGAGATTTGCTCGGCATGTCTACATCATTTACGCATGTGATACAAAAATTTCTTATTAACTATACCGCAGCGATTTCATATTGTTCGGTGAGATGTATCGGGCTTATTTTTCCGAATTGCTCTAGTTCCTTCAGAAACAGTTTATAATTACCCATGACTTATCCTTTTATATCGACCTTCAACCCATTTCGATTAATAGAATAATAGTTCCAAGTACATATTTAACTAGAATAAAATACTTGACGTTGTACGTATAGAATTGAAGTTGTATTAAGGCTTCAGAGAACAGCTTTTTGCAGCTAGCTCTGATCAAAGTAGTGAGAGCTGTTGTATTTGTGTTAATTTGGTGAGCGGTAGGTAAATATTAACTATGTACTCAATCATTATTTGCTTTTCGCGAACCAATCGGTTGGTAGTTGATGTTGTATGATGCAGGCTAATATTTCTGACTGTCGATTTTTGGAACTGAGAGGAGGTCCATTATGAAGTATTTTATGAGAATTACTTGCTGGAAATCGGCTGCATACGAGATTTAGGTAGTACGCTGTGGCCAGAAGATTCTTTGTCAACTCTCCGTTTGTACCGTACTCGCACCTTGCGTTCATAAGATGACTGCCTTCTCGTATCATAATACGATCCATAAATTTCATCACATTCATTCAACATCCACATGTTGAAGGGTATACTATAGTTGGAGTGCTCGCCTTCAATGCTCCAATTATGAAGTATATCAATAGACTTGAAAATTATTAGTGGATTTGATGTATCCATTTGAATGTTCCAGCCTAATCATATAGAGTGTGTTTAGGATATCTGTAACACGAATGTTATTCTGATGATGAATAGTTTTGTAGACTATCTTTGACTATAATATAGCAATCGGCGACTAATCGAGCTTCGTGTAGGAATACTTGATCAATGTACTATTTGAATAAAGACACCGTAGATCATAGACCACGCGTTACGTATCTGTTGATAAGTTTATTTGTCAATGATACTTTTATGAAATGAATGAACACTATTGTGACAATTTTTTTCAATCTTAACAAGTATTTCATTTAAGTTCTAGATTAAAAACAAACAACAATGGCTACTAAACAAGATGATTTCACTGATAAATTCTCATACCTATCAGTTAAAACACAATCAGGGATGAGCACTAACAGTGAAATAAATTCAATTTGGTTAATACCATATTCATTCAAGTGTGGCTATTCATTCCAGTGTCCATTGACGTTTAAACAGTTAATTGATCGACAATTGAGTCAAAAATATTTTCATGAACTATTATTGGTGACTGAACAAAATCATAAAATATATGACTTTCATATGCGATTACGCTCTCAAGGTCACTATGGTTTGGCTGTGGATTTCATATTCAATAATGCTGAGGATCAATCCGGCCCAGTTAAGAGTGAAATATGTAATTGGTGTGATATGAACAATCAATTATCGAAGCTGAATTTGATTAAACAAAATCCGACAACATGTATTTGGTTCGATGCCCAATTGAAAAATAAATTAATTATTACACCACAACGACATATTGAACGATTATCGGAGATGACAGAAGAAGAAATGAAACAGTTTTGGAAAGATACCAAAGTTGCTTTAGACGAAGAAGGATGCGACTGGCAAAGTATGACTCTAAATCATGGAAAATATCGAAAACAATTTCATCTTTGTATGAAAATCAATATTGACCAACATCAGTGGAATCAATGTATTAAAAAGAAATATGAAGAGAAAATAAAACAAATACAACATTTACTCAAGTGCAACGAACATGATCCTATCGAAACTCATTCTACTGATCGGAAATTAAACAAATGGAGTGAAATGAGAAATGATAAAATAAAAGGAAAAACATGTACAAATTGAAAAGAAAATAAATTTCAAATAAAATAAGCTATTCTCGACGTCACCATATAATGTACATCAATATTTTTTAATTATCTCGAGAACGAAAGTAGCTGCAAACCTGCAGTTTTAACTATTGAAAAAAGAAATATTGGGAAAATAAAACTCTGTTGAAGAGGTGCGATAATGAAGTTGTCAAGTTGCTCAGTTTTTTCTATAGATTTTGACCAGAAGTTTTCGAAAAAAGTTGCTCAACTATCCATGATTTACAATTTATTCGATCAACAACATTTTTCTGTCGGTCGAGACAAGACCGATCCTTCTAGCTTATTCCATTCTAGAGTTATAAGCATTTTACTGGAAGCATTGAAATAGGCTAACTAACCACTGGTCATCTGACCTATATTGAGTTTAGGATAGTCAACTAAGTTGAACCGATTGATGATGTTTATTCTGAGTTTCGGGGTAGGGTGTGGGTGTTGATCTCATTCTCCGTCTGAGAGAATATCCGTATCCTACACTCACACCCACGCCCGGTAGTACATGAGAGTAGATTCCAAGTAATTCTAAGTTTTTTGACCCAGTACATGATAGTACATAATCTCTACTCTCATGTGCCGGGGCATGCTATTTTCGGAGTACAATTTGTACCTTTATTTGCGCAGCCCTCATGTTTACATATATATTAAAACTATTTCATCGCTTCTCTCTAATTTTCTTATTTGTCTTTTTGTTTGTAACATCTGTTATCGGTAGAGATTGATAATGATCGTTTAAGATCGAAAATTTCCGCACATATGTGTATTAAAACAAAAATAAATCATTTAAAATTATACTGCATAGAATATTTTATTATTTGATATTGAGTCAAATCTCAAGATTAAACACATAGCTTCATGAAATATAGCGTTTGAATATTATTATGACAATATACAGTTTGTTTGTGTCTCGTATGTCATCAAAAATAACCGAAAACAAATTAAAAAGAACGGGATTGTTTCGTGTTTTTTTTTAAACTGAATCAAATCGAATCGAAATTTATATACGAATCAACAGGTTCCAACCACAGAAAACTCAATTTTCGGTAAAATAGTTCTATAAGATAAACATATGAACATGTTACCTGAGATGCTTCGTGTATGAAATCATAAAAACAGTTTAGATTATTCAATTTTTTGGAGAATGGAGAGCAAAAGAGAGTTATGAATGATCTTTGAAACTATCTGAATATACTTATATTTAGAGCACTCAGTAAATTTTTTTCTAGAGTTAGATCTTCAAAATATACGAATATTTTTTAGACGTAACAAAAGTCTACACACCTTAGAGATATGTTTGAGATCTCCGATAATTTTATCTTATGAGTGCAGATCTTCTCTTCACTCACACTCTATAGATTATATTAAGGTTCTGAGATTTAATTAAAGTGAATGTTTTATATAGAATAAAATATCATAATTTTTCTCAATCACTAGTAAACACTAACTATCACTATCAGTCTTTAAAACATCTGAAAGATAATAAATGATTTAAACAAATTAATTTGTTATTCTTCTAATATTATTAAGTTGTTCAACAGTATAACAGATATAAGGACATTGGTAAGCAGTCGTATCTGTCGCAATGTATCTACTACGAAGATAATCTAATATACCACGATAAGTGATTCGACTGGCATGTAATATATTTATGTTCTACCTCCAATTTTAATAATAAGAGGAAGAATATATAAAGGAAAAGCTTCTTTTTTGTTCTTCTCAAAATTGATGTTTTTCGATAATGATTGAACTGCTGACAAATTATTTTTCTCAATATAATTCATCATCAATGCTTGATAAACTCACAGTTTTCCAGATAACTATGTCTAGAATTCCCAAAATTTTTAAATTTCAATGATTCCAAAGATGAAACAAAATAAAGATTAAGAAAATTCTTTCCTTCAACGAAGTAGTAATGAGTTTTCTTTTAAATGAAAGTAATTCGAGTTCTATTGCTGGAAATAAATTGACATTAAATTTGTCATCATAAAACTCCTGCTTTGCAGCTTGGTCTCTGGAAATTTCCTAAATGATAACACCTATGGAGAAATGAAACTCTTTTTAGTAACGTATATCTATTAGTAAAATATCTATACAACGTTTAATCAATGTCTTATGCACTCCATCGAAGTTAGACTTTGTAAGCGGCCATCAATATTAGAATTAGATGGGATCTGTTTAGTTTTCTTTTGAACCGAACTGATTCTATCTATGGTATCCTCAAGCGCAGGATTGTCGATTGTTTTGAAAAGTGGAAGGGGCTAAAGATTTGACAAAAACTTTGAAAATTTTGACAAAGTCCTTTTTTCCACTTTCCAGCAGACGCTGAACAAATACTGCTGAATTCATCGATTTTTCATAAGATCTTGTTTACAGAAAGTGTTTTTATCCGACTTTTTGCCAGAAAAAAGACGAACAGTACTTAAAAACAGAGTTTCTGCTGGAATTTACCATGAGATTTTTACAATTTTGGCGGAAAGTATCAGAAATTTTCGCAGAAAGTCGGATATGTTTCCAATTCTTGGTGAGGGAACGAACCCTCCCCCCCCTCTAATCGTGAAGCCTACTCAAGCCATTCTTTCCTTCTTGCTTTCTTCTCTCTGTTCTTGTTTCCTTCTTTCTTCATTTCGTCTCTTTCTATCTTTTTTTTGTTTCTTATATACTTCTTCGGCTTTGATCTATCTTTTAATCTTCGCCTTATCTCGAATCTGCCTGTTCAACTGGCCCAAGTAATTAACTTCCTTTTTGTCTCAAAAAGACTTATGACGATTCAATCAGAAGCCAAATATTCGCTCAAAAACAACAAACAGCGCATCGAATAAAATTTCTAAATTTTTCTTTTTATGAATGATGCAAATCTTTTTTGTAGCTTTTCAAAATAGAGACTTTTCAATTAAACATTCTTCTATTTGAGAAAATTGTCTTAGCTACTTCAGTGTTCATAGTTATTTGCAATCTTGTGCTATTAAAACATTATCATAACTATCTATAAGATTTGATAGCTTTTCAAAAAATATGTCAACGGTTAATTAATTATTTAAATAGTTTATTCGCTTCTCACAGAATTTCGTAGACTATTTTATTTTCTGTTGTGCCGCTAACATATAAAATCCTTATATTTCTGTTTTCTTGAATAGATATCAAGTCTTTTAAATAGCTATGATAATTTTGTAACAAACGTTTGGTTTGAAAAGCTTATAACATGATGAAGATTGAAAAAACTAAATGTTGTTTCAAAGGGAATAGCTATTTAAGTCATTGATATTTGCATTTTTTGAAAAGAGCAAGCTGATTTATTTTCATCATAAACTGGAATCTTTGATGTATTTTGCTCAAGGCTAAAGGGAAACAAGAATTGTTCAGAGATATTAAGTCTTTTAAAATATTTTGTGTGGTACAGCGAGAAGAACGTTTTATTTTCCTCGTTATTTCTCTTTCTAAGAAAGAGAGATGAGGAGCAGTCAGAATGTCCTCAGCAAGAATTGCATTGTCTTGTCTTTTTTAAACGGTATTACTATTAAACGAGAAGTAGATTCACAACTGCAACTAGAGACCTGCGGAGTCAACTTTTTCCATTCCGAAACCCGACTCCGACTCCGATTCCGAAACCTTTCTGTTTATGACTCCGATTCCAACTCCGATTTCGAAAATTTTTATTTTTTGACTCCGATTCCGACTCCGAAAAACTCCGAAATTTTTTAACAATGTCATTTAAAAATAAAACGTTCTCAGCAGCCAAAGGACTCTTTAATGACTTAACATGCGCACGTTTTACACTAAAAATCTCAAGTTTCTCTTTAAAAAAAAACAGTTTATGGATGTTATCATCTTCAAAGTNGGCATATTTTCATAGCCTTCGATGGGTGCTAGCATTCGCTTTGGTAGTGGATTGAAATCGGTGACCCGAAGAGACATTGGTTTGTCACTATGGTTGGTATCCATTTGAAAGTTGATAATCTATAAAAAACAGATTTTATTTTCCCAAAATACATTTTAATCTAATTATTTTCGAGACAATCTCTTCAATTTTATCTAAATTATTTACAAGATTAGATTGTTTAATGAGATGTTGAGAGACTTTCAAAAAAGAAGGTAATTTCAGCGATGTAAGACACAAAATTTCTGAAATTTCTGTTTTCTTACTTTTCCTTTTTGGAAGTATGCACATACTTCATATTTACAGAAAAACTAGAGTTCTGCATATTTTCTGATGAAAAACATGGGTTTCACAAGTTGGTGGGAATTTGTTCTCATAACTGTGGATGCCTGAAATTTATTATATTTTGTGGCTCATATTCTTTTCGAACAAAGTATCAATGTAGCTCAGCTTAGAATTGCATGTTGGTATGTCACATAACCAGAAGCATCCATCTTTATGCTTCTCTGAATTTATCATTGATCTATTGATAACCTACAGTAAATACCTTATTTTGTATTTGATTCTAACTTTCAAGAGATACATATTTACGTGAGCCTCAAATGGATCATCCAAAGCATATCTTTATTATACTAGTATTTGATTGGTTCAAAATAGCTGTCGAATTATAATATTTCAATACATGGGTTTGCATATTTTCTAACGTTTTATATCCTGGTATACTACTAATGTCCGTATTGGATGACTAACTCATTCAGTCACAAGAATCATTTCTTTTTTAGATTTGATTTATCCATCACGGTCAATTGGTACTAAAAAGAAAGTCAAGTCTATTTTGTACTAACTCAGTGGAACATGTAAAACGTGAAGCTTTCGAGATTTGACATATAATTGATTCACATGCTCACATAGAAACAAATCTACGATTTTTTTTGGATTTCAGCAAGTTTACCAAGAAGGAAACAGCTGATTCTGTGTCATTGGAATCACTGGAATCCCTTGGAATCACTGGAATCCCTTGGAATCAACGGAATCCGTTGGAATCAATGAAATCCGTTGGAATCAATGAAATCCTTTGAAATTAGCTAGAGAAATCAGTCAATAGAGTCAGTGGAAATCAGACGTAGAAATCGGAAATTACTTATATAATTAAACACAAGAGGGAGACGGCTGATTCCGGACAACAGAATCACTTGGAATCACTTGAAATCATCGGAATCAATGGAATCAATCGAAATCCCCCGGAATCACTCAGAGTCATCATGAGATCAATAGGAATCCAGTTTTCAGAAATGTGCTCCAAGGTTATTTGGGACGGAGAATCCGAATCTGAGGTCCATTTGCCTCGAAATCCTATTGGTAGGTCGAGGACCAATAGAAATCGAGTTTTCAAGAAAATTATCGCTTGAGGGTCCCTTTGACAAAAATCAATGTTGATCTATTTTATCGATTTCGTAGTTTAGATCTTGTAAGATAGAGCACATTCTCCACTAGCGAATACAGTGCAGTCAATGAGCTTTCTGATGTTATATAACGATAGTATATGGGTACTTCTGAACTCCGTTGTTAAAGAAACACACACATCTCGCACTTTTTGGTTTTGAATCTCATCAGCTTCTCTAGAGGTTCTTTTTTAAAATGAATGTTGTCATCACTGTATCGAATATAAGGTATTTACGTATTTGCTTTTGTTTGGTTCTCTACCCTTGAAAGGTCCTGAAGGAGCCTAGTGCTGATCTCGAATGACTGGGAAGAAAAGCAAAGGACATGAAACAATGATAAAACATAGCCTGAGAGCAGGAGTGACGAACTATAAAGCCTGTTTATCGCGGAATATATGAGCCGTTGAACAGCAAGTAGTTTGTAGCATCTAGAATAGAGCTGGCTCATTCAATGAAATGGGACTGCGAGAGGAAAAGCTTGATCTTGATGTCAACAGATGACAGCCGAACAAATCAGACATTTTACCATTACTCTTCTCACCAACATAAGGCATCTAACACCTCTCTGCATGCATTGTTTTGGTCGATCATGATCAATAGTCTAGTATCAATAACTGGGATAGTTAGTCTAAATCGTTTGAGGAGGACAGCGGCTCGGTTTCAATTTCAAAACTTATTTTGAATCTTCTCAAAATACGTTATTTTTTCTAGTCGTTTCCGTATGTCCCAAATTTCTCGTCAACGTTTAACGCTGAAGTGCGAAGCCTGATACCAAAATGAATGGGAAAGTCAGTTCTACAACATAAAAGAGCTGGACTTTCCCTCTTTCTCTTTGATTTTTGTGAAACACCAACTACTCTGGACTCATACGCCCTGATGCTTTCGTAGTTTATCAGAACCTTTTGAGAAATATAAATAACGCAAAACTTGAAAAAAATGAGGCTCTATCAAGTTTTATCGCCACCTCTACACTATATTTTGAAATCAACACGAATTTTTCGACTTTACGATTGTGAAGAAGTTGGAATCCACGTGGACATATATTTTGAGGATCAATGCGAACGCAACCCTTGACAGAGTCAAGATTTCCAGCTGAAACAATAATTGAGCAAATCTTTATTCTTCATGATTTTCGGGTAGCAATCAAATTACCAGGCACATGTGATGCAGATTTGAACTCCCAGCTCTATATTACGGCCAAGGAATGGGTTTCCTGAAAACTCGATTTCTATTGGTCCTCAACCGACCAATAGGATGTCGAGGCAAATGGACCTCAGATTCGGATTCTTCGTCTCAAATAATCTCTGGAGAACACCTTTCGTGAACACTGGATTTCTATTGGTTCCAGACTGACGAATAGAATTTTGAGGCAAGTGGACCTCAGATTCCGCTTTTCCACCCCAAATAACCTTGAAGCACATTTCTAAAAACTGAATTCCTATTGATCTCATGATGACTCTGAGTGATTCCAAAGAATTTCATTGATTCCGATGATTCTAGGTGATTCTGTTGTCCGGAATCAACTGTTTTCGCCTTGAATATTACTTTATTGCTAGCACTTTTGCATATTTCCTTGGCTAGACAAATATTTTGGCACATTTCTAGCACTGTTTGAAGTCATGGGCATTCCCGTGGAATCCTATGGAATCTCATGGAATCCTATGGAATCAATGAAATCCTGGAATCAGCTGTTTCTCCGTTGAAGTTTACCACCAACTGGGTGTTTCCTATTTTAAGAATTTAGAGTAAGAAATTTTTCACTAAAATTTTAAATGAAATTGTAAACATAGAATCCAATAAAAGAAAGTCTACTGTACAATTCTATATGTTATGAAGTGATGATATTCGTTTTAAGATCAAGTTACTGAGAAAAAAACAGTCTTGCTTCAGACAACGGGCTATACAACTTAATCTCGGAATCGATTTCTTTCTACATACACTGTACAATGCTACGAGTTTGGATTCTTCCTTGGCAATTTCAGTCCAATCGAATAAGTAATCAAGATACAACACTTGACGCAAACTTTAAAATATTCATTCATAGTGGCATTGTTTTTTGTCTGAGTCATTTTACTGACTTGACACAAATAAAGCGACTTTAACTGTCCCAAACATGAAGATTGTGCATATTATCTCAGTTTCTTCTTCGATTTTTAACAAAAATGAGAAAATCGTCGATCAAGCGAGTTCAAATCGACAACCATCACTCACACTTTAACTTTTCCCATCAATATAAAGTTTGTGAAGATCTCTTATTTGATATAGATGAAATGTTTTTGTTCTATCCGGTTATGAGGTGCAAATTAATATTTAGATGAAGTTTTAGTTCCGATTCAAAATTAACATAAGGCAATAACTAGCTGATAAATATTTATCAAGCACATTTTTGGTCCATAAATAAAATAAAATCAGACTAATCAGGTCTGTAAAGTATGTCATGCGAATACCTTTCTATATCAGAGTTATTTTTCTCTAATCGTATTCAGAAAGAGAGCAAAAAACACATTTTGCTTTGGCCTATATGAGTTTTTCTCATAATTTTCACAAAAAAGTTCAAGGGGTTTGCTCATTTTTTAAAGAAAAGTGTCAAGTTTGTTAGAAAAAAAGTTACATAATTTGCACAAAACAAAGGACTGAAAATACCTCGAAAACTTGAAATCTTGTTCAGAAAATAAGAAAAAACCTCGACTTTTGACGAAAACTATGGAAGAAATTGCCATGTCATAAAAACGGAATGATTTCTTCCTTTTTCGTACAAATTTAGTGTAAAAACGAATATGTTTGACTCTCAGATTGACCTACATGACATTGCTAAGTTCTTACTGAATAAAATGTATTCTTGTCTGGAGATATCCAATATTGAAAACTAAATTGTATACAATGAGGAAAAACAGCTCACATCAGTTAACTTGTTGTAAATATTCGACCTGATAAGCAGACGATGCCAAATCCAAGATTTTCGCCTCGATGAGACTTAGTTGAATGTATTTTAGATTTTAAAATACATTGATAAATTTATTAAAGCAAAATCTTGCTTAAACTCTGATAATCAAAGTTAAAACGGAATGCCTTAATCATAAGCCAATCATATTTTGCATGTCTCTATTATCACTATTTTATATAAATCTTGTCATACACGATATTGTCGATGTATCCATTCACTCTATACTGCTATAAATGCTACTAGTGTATATTAATGGCATAAACTTATTTTGATCTAATTTAGCTTTCATTGTTAAGAGTAAACCTAATATATAACTTTGGAAGNATTTATTACGCGGCTGAATGAATACAATTTGTACTAAAACAATGATCTTTATACGCACCTTTTTTCCAATCAATTATTTATCGAGGAAATAGTTTTAATAGGAAGAAGACAAAAGAAAAGGAAGTAAAGAACATTTTATACAAATACAAATGAAATTTTCTCCATTTTATTTTTGAGACACTCATTGGACTTTATCTAAATCTTCAACATTCATGTATTACGTAAGGCGAATGATAAAGCATTACGGAACATCATCTGCTCGATGAAGGCAGCCTCAAGTTTAATAAAATTGCTTAACGTCAAGGTTCTTAATAGCAAGTTTAACAAGCAAAATCAAAATGTACAAAACACATGCTAAACCACATGTACACGCTTTTTTAGATAAAATATTATTAGATTCATATAGGAATTTATAATTGGATGATTCGAATCACTAAACATTGTAAGTTAGCAATTTTTCTTGTTTACATTTGGTAATTAATCTGATGATTTATAATAAAAAATGAATTTGCTTCTTATAGATAAAAATTGGCAACACTTACTATTTATCTTACATATATATTTTCTCTTTTTTGTACAAATATATGGTCAAAGACTTGAAATTAAACGAAATGTAGATGATGTCAATAATGATCAGGTTCAATCGGTTTATGTTCCTTTGAAGAAAGTGTTTGTTGAAGCAACAATTCATTCATTTGCTGCCGATGTAACAATTATTCAAGTGTTTCGTAATGACGAAGAAACACCGATTGAAGCTGTTTATTGTTTTCCTATTGAAGAACAAGCAGCAATCTATTCGTTCGTTGCACGTATTAATGATCGAGAAATTGTTGCTCAACTTAAAGAGAAAAAAGAAGCACAGAATGAATATACTCAAGCTCTACGAGAAAATCATGGCGCTTATTTATTGGAACAAGACGAAAAATCCCAGGATAATTTCATTATTAATATCGGTGCATTACCACCATCAACCGAATGTACAATCACTATTGCATATGTCACTGAATTAGATCTGGTAGATGGACTTATTATTCGTTTCGTTATTCCTACTACTATAGCACCTCGATATGATTCTAAACAGGGTGGAATTTCATCTCCTGCAAGCACTACTTCCAAATATGTTCAAAAAAGTCCGTATACTATTAAATTTTATTGTTATATCAAGAAAATAGTTGGAGAGACTGGACAGTTAATTCGTAAAGTAAGCTCATCATCTCATCCAATAGAAGTTAATTCTGATCAACAAGACGCTTATGTAATAAGGTTTGCTGAAGAAAATACTCATTTAGATCGAGATATTCTTATTAATATTGAACTGGCAGAAAAACAAGTTAATACCATTTTGACTATTGAATCAAATGCTGTCATGGCTACCTTTATTCCTACTGAAGAAGATTGTCGACAAGCACGAAATAATGAACAGACGAATGTGTTTATCTTTGTCGTTGATTGCAGTGGATCAATGACGTCAGAGAATAAGATTGGTTTGACTCGAGATGCTGTTATGCTATTTTTGAAAAGTCTGCCTGCTAATTCTCAATTCAACATCATTCAATTTGGTTCCAACTATATGACTTTATTTTCTGAGATTACTGTTGTTTACAACGAAGCAAATCTTCGACAAGCCGAACGAATGGTTAGTCACATGCAGGCTGATTTGGGTGGAACTGAATTAGTAAGTTGTATCGTTTGATTTCATACAATCTCACTATTGCTTTTTTAGTTAGCACCATTACAATGGTTGAAAAAATATAATATACTTTATCAAAACGTCAATATAAATCTNTAATCATTGGGAACTCGGAAACTTCGACAAGAATTACATAATTGAGCACTAAAAAAATGATGTCCTTCCATTTTCCGTAAAATTATAACATAGAAAATAAAAAACAAAAAGATTTTTATCTGACTTAATATCAAAAATAAAAGATCTTTTCAACTGATTTAACATACAAAACAAAATTTAGAGTTTTAGAAACTTATTAAATGATGTTACTAATCGATTATAAATGTATATTTTGTTTCAGAATAGAATAAATTAACAGCATTCTTTCAAGTTAGAATATCGACAGAAGACAAAAGTGTTTGATACTGGTTGATCATCGTTGAATACTGGACGAAAAGCGAGCTTTTGTAGTATTTGCGATGGTTTAATAATGGTTGTAGAACCATCTACAACGATACCCTTTAAAATATTATTACACGTAAAATCTCTTCCTTGAATGTTGACGGCATCGGCCGCTGAAATAAGTTTCACCTTATTTGAAAATAGGTAAATCTCATCTTTATCGATGGAATGAACGATGCACAATATGAAACCAACTGAAGAAGAATTGTTTTTTGATTTATACAAGATACAAGCATCATTAGAATGTCGTATTGACGTGAAATCATCAGTGCTAAAACGTAAATCATTAATAAATAATGTTTTGTAAAAGAAAATGTTGGCTTGAGATAGATTGGGCCATTGAACAAAGAAATTAGATGGTGATGGTGTGATTTTTTTATGTAGTTTAATATTTGCTAGATCATCTTGGTAATTAAAAGTAATTTGGCGTGGTGAAGAGCAAATTCGAGAAATATATTCTTTTCCTTTCGTTGAAAACGACGAGGAGGAAATGCAAATTGATGATTGACGATATAAGTCAATGTTTTTAATTAATTCAGTTGTTGGTGTTGATCCACCATGTATGATTCTAGAGAATGATGCTACTCAAATAATCAAAATTCTATATGTGAAAAACGGATGTGAAAAACAAACCCATCTTAGATTCGAATGAAAATGTTGAATAATTAAACATCGGCCCATAATCTCGAATACATGAATAAAAATGACGAATTGAATGGATCACAGGTACAACATGCCTATCCTGTATTGAACAACTTATCGAAAGAAATAAAACCAGAGATATCGCTCGCCGTATAAAGAAATGCAAATTTTTTATCAAAATATGTCGCTAAGTATTCGACACCTTTATGAGCATCGCGAGAGAGATATTGCCCTTCAACTATATGTGCAATAAAAGCTAATGCTTTTGGATGAGCATAACGTTCTTGATCAAGAAAATTTTCAAATACTCTATATGAAACGGAAAAGTAAAATATGTTTAAATAGATGTGAAACTCACGAATAACCAAGCAACAAAATAATTCTCAATTCATTTTCTTTGAACTTTCTAAATAGACGAATATCTCTTGGTTGTCGGTACGTTGTTGATGGATATGAGATTGAATTGATAATTTCAGCAATATAATCTATTTTATTATATACGCTCATAGCATCTGATATACCAACAGTGCCAGATGGTTTTGACAAAACAAGTTTCAACATCTTTGCCTATATAAAACACAGTGATAATTTAAAAAAAAAGAGATTACTGTTGCCTCCAAAATATAAATTATGAAGAGGATCGTAAAGAAACGAACTGTAAATATTAAAATATTTGAAATGTCGAAGCAGACACGGTCCTCTAACACCATTGCAAATAATCAACAGCTGCTGCTTTTGAGAGAATTTTAGTTGAATTAGGTAATTTGTAGCCCTNTCATTTTAATTCATTCTTGATAAAAAGATAACCGATTTTACTAAAATATCTTGACTCTTTTTTTTTCACGGATACATGACACAAGCAAAATATACAAAAACAAGACATTGATCAACGTAGACAGGAATTCTATGTGATTGAATGCCATCATTGAATTGATTCAAAATTTCTATCATCATTTAGCAACAGGTTGACATTCATTTTTTATTTGAGAGACTTCCTTTTGATGTGATAGGAGGTGCTGAATTTTTTCGAAATCGAGCGAATTTGTATTGTACGATGACGAATCCGAATAAGTGTCACATTCGTTAGTTCTAATAAAATCAATCGGAAACATGGGATCATCACTAGCTGGTTAGATTATAAATAGACGATACATGTTCTGAAAGATTGATGTTTAGCTTCAGAAAATTTTTTCAAATCAATTTTTATTAAAAATATTATCAGGGCAAAACAATTTGCCCTGCCCTGCACTGTGCCCTGCTCCAGTCGCCCTGAGGGCGGACAGGACAGGGCAAGAAAAAAAAAGTTTGTCCTGTAGGACAGGGCAGGATAGGACAGGGCGTCAGGGCTGCCCTGATGCCCTGACCTGATGACGGTCTCTGGTCGGTATACGTGTTTTTTTCCTAATTCTGCTGTTTCCATGTAAAATAGCAATGAATTTCAGAGAAACCTCAATTGCGTATGATAAATGATCTCTATTCTAAATAAAAAATATACCATTCGATTCCTCTTGTCATGACGGATCGAATGATTTTTTTAATATTTTTACGAAATTTTCTAACATTTTGGCAAAAATAGGAACAAAAAATACGTTGATCGGCATAAATAGGAAATAAAATGCATGTAGCGGCAAGAAAAGGGACAAAAATTCGAGTTTTTTTTATTTCATATTTTTATATTACTTCGAGAGTCAAAAAGTAGTGAGAGTGGTACTGTGATTGCTTATAAAAAGCTTTAAGAAACTTTCTTTCTATATAGTCTGATAGAGAAAAGAATGCTCGATTTTTCTATGCTATTTGATTATACTTCAACTAATATCATAATAATAAAATTTCGATAGGACCTGTTTTTCTATCGTATGTGATGGTTATACTAATATCTATTTAGCATGAGTTGCCTAATTGGAGTTCGAATAAATGGACCTCTTCCATCATAATGCCACTTCGAATATAAATGAAAAAAATTTGGCCGGCACTCATGTAGCTAAAAAAAAGCCACAAGCCAGTAGTGTCAGACCTGAAGGCTCTATTCAATAATTGAAAAGGTTTCCAACTATGCTGAGATCCTACCGGCATCACCTAGAATGCTACAAGCATCTTCTGGATTGCTACAGGCATCTAATGGGTTTATAAATGCATCACCTGGGATTCTAAAACCATCATCCGAAATGCTGTAAGCATCATCTTGGAACGTACAAGCATCATCTGAGCTGCCACAGATATCACCTGGAATGCTACAGTCATCACCTGATATGCTACAGGCGTCATGCTACACATATTCAAGAAAAGCTTCTGGCCCATGTAATCGACCTTTTATTACAGCGTAGCGGTGTGGGGGCGCGTAGTGCGCCCCGAAGAGCCGCAACCAATTCTCGTATCTGTGTACACAGTGCCTGTAGTGTCCCAGGTGACATCTGTAGCATTCCAGGTGATGCTTGTAGGATCCCATATGATGTTTGCAGCAATCCAGAAGATCTTTGTAACATCCCACGTGATACCCGTAGCAAACGAAATTATGGTTGTAGCGTTCCAGATTTATGCCACCAGCAACTCAGGTGATGCTTTTAGGTTCTTAGATGATGCTCACAGTATCTCGGATGATGCTCGTAGCATCCAACATAATACATGTGGCAATCCAAGTCATAGTTGTAGAATCTCAGCATAGTTGCAAACCTCTTCAATAGTTGAATTCAACTTTCAGGCTTGATTCTAGTGGTTTCTGATTACTTTTATATACAATAGTCAAAATTTGAATAATTCTTTATAATTGAGATAAAATTTTGGCTTTGGCTTTTTTGGCTATAGGGGTGCTGGCCAAATTTTTTGCAAATCTCACTTATTTTCGAACTCGAATTAGGCATCGACTCACCCAGTGAGGTGCTTACAGTGAATTCTTAATTGTCACTGTGTATTCAAACCGCCAATGAGAGGTCTACAAAAATACACAAGGTTACGACGTTTAGAATTGATTATTCAGAAGTTACAGGTATTTTAGTCGAAGCTGTAAGTGATTTTCTGGCAATTTCTGTAAAAAACCGTTTTTTTTTCTGTTTGTTTTTGAGAAGATACTATTTTTCCATACTTAGAAAATTGATTAAACAAACTTCAGACAACATACTAGGAGAATGTATAATATACGATTCGATGCATCTTCATCTCCTTTTTCAAACAATGAAAACCGCAAGTCTCTACCTTGATTCTATCGAAAGCTATTCGAAAAATATCCACTAGATAAACATTAGTATCACCGTCGCATATGATAAAAAAAATAGGTCTTATCAAAATTTTATTATTATAATATTAATTGAAGTATGATCAAATAGCATAGAAAAATCGAGCATTCTTTTCTCTATCAGACTATACAGAAAGAAAGTTTCTTAAAGCTTTTTATAAGCAATCACAGTACCACTCTCACTACTTTTTGACTGCACTAAGTAAATAAATGAAACCAAGATGAATTCGAATTTTTTCAACAACAACGTCATTTAATTCGTCATGTCAAGAGGAATTGAATGGTACATTTTTTATTTAGAATAGAGGCCGTTTATCATACACAATTGAGGTTTCTCTGAAATTCATTGGCATTTTACATGGAAACGGTGAAATTAGGAAAAAATATACGTGTAACGGCACATCAAAAAGTCAGAGGAAAATTCAATCAAAATTGACCTCTTTGCTATTGTGACGCTTTTTACTCAGCATCTACTGATTGTTTTTTGATCGATTATATATCAATCGATACGGAAATGTTTGAGCTACTTCAGAAACTACAGTTTTTGTCTTTTAGGATGTTGCGACGTTGAGTTATCCAAGTTCTATTGAGAAGATATATCAATTTCTCTCTAAATTTTGATAACTTCTCAGTATCTCTTTAGAATCATTCTCTGCCTTCTCTCTATTTTTGTTTGGTGATGATTCCTATATATCAATTGTATGGGAATCAATTATTCATTGGTGTGCTGAAGTTGAACATTTTTACTACTGAATGCATAGGGATTATCAATTTATCTTTCAATTATCTATCTATGGTAACAATAGTTTTTCTGTCACAATTTCATGCCTATTGCCGCTTTGGAAGGCGCCTAAGTTCGCTTTTTACATATCTATGATTCTTTCAAAGTTTCAAATAATGATGAACTTTTCTTTGTTTTGGTAACTACCATCGAGGCTATTACTATACTACAAAATGAAAACTATTTGTAAACGTTTTGCTGTCTTGAGTTTTCAAGCAAAACAAATTAGGACTCTTTTGCTTTTATCTTTTGAAGTATTTCCATGAATGTATCCAATTTTGTCGTAATTTAGAGCTACGAAGAAGGATCTTCAAGCAAAATCTCCAGTAATTCAGAATAATTTTATTTTGAACCAAATATTAATTTGACTTTCTTTCTGTGACAAGTCAATAGAAAGAAATAGAAGGTATTGATATGTTCGTCTTTCTTTCACTTCTCTGTTCAGCAAAAACAAAGAAACAGAAAAACAGCCTACTGCAAACAAAAGTTCCGTTAACTTGATTTTTTTCTAATAAAATTGAGTAATGAAACTTTTTCCTGACCGATGTCAAATAAGCATCTTGGTCTCAATATTTTTTTCTGCAATTAAAACTAGAGCTCTCGATTTAGAACATAATCAATGATGAAAAGACAATCTATCAGTTTAAAAACAAATAAGGAAACACATTGATTCCGCTATTCGAGAGAAGTTGAAATTTTCTTAAAAAATTCGTTTCTGATATAGCTTTGGAAGAAAATTTTTTTTATTAATCTTTAGTTTATTAGACTATATGTCAATGATGTATAAAATAAACAAATAAGTAGATGGATGTTTTTATCTGACAAGGACACAAGTGAGTAAAACATTTTACAATTTAACATTCATTAAATTTGCTTTCAAAAACTGTTCGTATCTAATCGTGCTGAAGTTTGATTAGAATCACCCAAACTAGCCCCACAAACATGATGTCAGATCTGATTTAAACGATGGCGAGCAGCATCACGGAATAGTTTCCATATATGGATCCAAAATTGAATTACTCGAGGAATGTTTAAAAACAAAATAACAGCACACAAAACCAGAGCCACTACCACCTGCACCCACACTGAATACCCGCCGATGTTATTTGTTATTAAACCAGCAACGATGCCAACCAAAAACGTGCATATAGATTTTAGTAATTTGTGTTCTAGAAACAGAAGTGATACAATAAGTTAGTTTAAAAAATAGAAAACAGATAAGAATCTATGATTATCACATGAAGAGATACATACGAATGATGAGCCCACCTAATCCTATTTAGTATGTTCTCTTGTTTGGAACCATGAATACAAATATTTTCCCATGGTTGAATGTGTAACATCTAATCAAAAATTGAATCTCATTTTGAAACTACGTCTAGTTATTAGTTTGAGATTATTTGTAATTAATCTTCACTTTTCTAAGTAAACGTTAGTTGTTTGACCTGACAGGAAGCCCATGTAAAAATAAATTAGACGCATAATCAGATTAAAATCGATTAAAGAATGATTAAAATCATACACTTTTAATCAATTTTTAATCAATTATAATTAAAATTAATCCGAAAAATCTAATTTTCATCGATTATTTCTATTATTTTCGATTAAAATCGATTAAAATCTAAGAAAATTGATTAAAGATTTTGCCATTTACTCTGACAGAAAATCAATTAAAATTTATATTTTTTACACGATTTTTAATCGATTATGATCGAAAATAATAGAAGTAATCGATCAAAATTAGTTTTTTCGGATTATTTTTGATTATAATCCATTCCTAATTGATCAAAGGTGTATGATTTTAATCAATTTTTAATCATTCTTTAATCGATTTTAATCTGATTATTCGTCTAATTTTTTTACATGAGAGGTAATTGATCGAGAACATAAGTATCTTCCTTTTTTACAGACACTTTTTTCTCGACAATTTCAGGATCTAAGAAAACCAGAATCTAAATAGGCCATATGAAACAAAAGTTCAGTTGCATAACGTAGATTCTGTTCTTATTCAAATTTTTAAATGAGACTAGTGGTGATAGGAAATACTTCTTGAGAGATACGACAGACATCTTAGTATTTTATGCACTATATTTCTTTAAAAATCTCTAGACCTAGGAAGTTAGAAAATGAAAAAACTGCATGAATTTCCTATCAAGAACATAATAAAAATGGCGTTATCAATGATGAAACGCATATTATTTATTATGTTTTTTGAATTCTTTGATAAAAAAGAATATATTACTGAAGCGCATGCTACGATTTTAACAGTCTCATAAAAAATAATATCAGTTTCATCATTTCAATAGTTTTTATATTCGCAGTCACAATGGCATACCGAGTGTGAGCCATGACTACCGTATTGATGCTTCTAGTTCTCGAAGCATTGCTTGGTCACCTAAAAGAAAAGTTATCAATCAATAGTTAAAGTGCATTATTTACCAGCTGTATCTCGAGCTCTTTGAATTACGGCTCGAGCTTGTTCATATCTGCTCAGCTGAAATAATGATTTTCTAAAGAAATAAATGATTTTCAACTAAACTTTTATATCGATTAACTATTACATACACTTTTTGAATATGTCCGGTAATATTCTGTTCATCTAATAAAATAGCAAATTCACTATCTGCTAAGGCATCTAAAACACATAAGTAGTGCTTCAAGACAATGTAGAAAAATATTACCTTTGAGTTTCTTAAGTGGAAGATAGCAAGCAGCCCGCTTAGTCAACAGCAGACTTCTCGTGTGCATGAGAATTATCTTCAACAGACCTAATAATTGTTATGTAAATCTAAGAGAAATATCAAAGAAAACGAAACAAGATAATAAAAATTAAAATTGACTAAACTTACTTGAATGACCTCATCGTATTGACCGATTAGAAAAGCATCAGAGGCTCTTGCTTGCATTTTTTGAATCTATCTGTCAATTATTCATGAATTCTTTACTATTAAGGAAGAAATATACAAAGAAAACAGTGATGTGTGGGTACTGTTTAAAGGTATATCCAATCAGTTGAGGACAAATGTAAACATCATTATAGACGTTCATTAAATTGCATAATGGACAATTCTAATTGATTAGATAAATCCGAATATATCTTGGCATATTAAATTATTCTTTAAAAAATTATATCAAAAACTGAAAAAAATTCAATCAAAACAAGACTTCCAAAATTTCAAAAGTGCATTTTTGGTAAACTGTCAGACCCTAGATGAGTCATACTTTTGTTATCAGATTGTAACGTCATTTATGCACTTGATTTATAATTTCGGGCCGATGAATTCTATATGACAGTTTAGATATCAAAAAAATTCTAAATTTAATTTACAATCGACTGATATACTTCTAATTAGTGGCAATCCGGAGGGAGGCTAGAACGAGCTCAGCCCCCTCTACGAAAATTTCTATTTCGAATTTCAGTAATTTATATATAAATCATTTGAAAAATGAAGTATTGTATATTTACATCTCTCTACTAGAATAAAAGAAGATAATCCATATTCGCTTGTTCTTTGAACTTTCTGATACTTGTAATAAACAAGTGTATAACAACTAGTGTAAAATCAGAGACGGTGATATCTTCAAAAAGATACATGGACTAAACAATGCTTAATTTAATTACAACTCGTGAATAGTGAACATTTTTGTATACTCATTGTAAATAAATCATAATCTTAAACCTCTGCACAGAGCACAGAGTGTTGATTCATGGACAATAAAAGAAAAACTCTCGATTCTTATTTTTTGTTCATCTACTCAAAAGAAGAGTAAATCAATAGCGTTGCGCTCTGATGATGGTAATAATCAAAATGTTACGTTACAATCATTTGATTCACATACATTTCTTGTTACTAATGATGCACTTGTTGAAATTTCTTCATGAATTCATCTCAAAATGTTAACGCTGAAAAAACGCAAAGCGTGCAGCTTGAAGAAAAGCCATTTGGTAAAGAATATGCTGGCATTATCGATATTAGTCGCTCATGTCAAGGTCCACCTACTCAATCTGAACTAGTTTCATATCCAAGAAATAATGAAAATAGATCGTTTATAGCAAAGTGGTTTGATGGACGTCCGTGATTAGAATATTCAATCAAAACAGATATTGCTTACTGTTATTATTGTCGACATTTTGGCGCACCATCATCATCGTCAAATAAAAAACCTCAAACTGATGCCTGCATCAATAACGGATTTCAAAATTGGAAAAAAGCTCTTGACAAATCAAAAGGCTTTAACAGACATCTACAAAGCAACGGTCACATTTTATCCGCAAGTAACTATGCAATTTATCAACAAAGAGAACAAACACAACATAATGTTATACAAGTATTAGACAAAAGTCGAATTGAATAAATTCGTCGAAATCGAGAACGATTGATTAAAATTGCATCAGCTTTATTATTATGTGCAAGACAAACAATTGCAATCAGACGACATCCCTGTCAAGTGAAAAATGAAAAATTGGTCATTAAAATGCATTAATCCCCGTATCTATACCATTTCGACCATTAAAACGCTCACTTTCAGGCGAATAATGTAAAAATACTCGTTAAAACGCATTATGATTTATGAATAAATCATTTTGACCATTTATTAAGTATAGTTTCTATTTTTTTTAAATACTAAGGTGATTTAAAACTATATTGAGTTTTAGAAACTTATTAGATGACGTTAGTAATCGATTATAAACGTATATTTTATTTCATCATAGAATAAGTTAACAGCATTCTTTCAAGTTAGGATATCGACAGAAGACAAAAGTTTTTGATAATGGTTGATTATCGTTGAATGCCGGTCGAAAAGCGAGCTTTTGTAGTATTTGAGATGGCTTAATAGTGGTTGTAGAACCATCTACAACGACACCCTTTAAAATATTGTTACATGTAAAATCTCTTCCTTCAATGTTGGCGGTATCGGCTGCTGAAATAAGTTTCACCTTATTTAAAAATAGAGAAATCTCGTTTTTATCGATGGAATGAACGATGCACAATATGAAACCAAGTGAAGACGAATTGTTTTTTGATTTATACAAGATACAAGCATCATTAGAATGTCGTATTGTTGTGAAATCATCAGCGCTAAAACGTAAATCATTAATAAATAATGTTTTGTAAAAGAAAATGTTGGATTGAGATAGATTGGACCATTGACCAAAGAAATTAGATGGTGGTGATGTGAGTTTTTTATGTAATCTAATATTTGCTAGATCATCTTGATAATTAGAAGTAATTTGACGTGGTGAAGAGCAAATTCGAGAAACATATTCTTTTCCTTTAGTTGGAAACGACGAGGAGGAGATGCAAATTGATGATTGACGATATAAGTCAATGTTTTTAATTAATTCAGTTATTGGTGCTGATCCACCATGTATGGTTCCAGAGAATGATGCTACTCAAATAATAAAAATTCTATATGTGAAAAAGGGTTCTGAAAAACAAACCCATCGTAGATTCGAATGAAAATGTTGAATAATTAAACATCGGCCCATAATCTCGAATACATGAGTAAAAATGGCGAATTGAATGGATTACGGGTACAACATGCCTATCCTGTATTGAAAAACTTATCGACAGAAATCAAACAAAAGATATTGCTCACCGTATAAAGAAATGCAAATTTTTTATCAAAATATGACGCTAAGTATTCGACATCTTTATGAGCATCGCTAGAGAGGTATTGTGCCTCAACTATATGTGCAATAAAAGCTAACGCTTTTAGATGAGCATAACGTTCTTGATCAAGAAAACCTTCAAATACTCTACATGAAAAATAAAAGTAAAATATGTTTAAATAGATGTGAAACTCACGAATAACCAAACAACAAAATAATTCTAAATTCATTTCCTTTGAATTTTCTAAATAGACGAATATCTCTTGGTTGTCGATACGTTGTTGACGGATATGATATTGAATTGATAATTTCAGCAATATGATCTATTTTATTATATACAGTCATAGCATCTGATATACCAGCCGTGCCAGATGGTTTTGACAAAAGAAGTTTCAACATCTTTGCCTATTTAAAACACCGTGGTAGTTTTAAAAAATTTTTAAAAATGAGACTACCGTTGCCCCTAAATATAAATTATGAAGAGTGTCGCAAAGAAAAGAACTGTAAATATTAAAATATTTGAAATGTCGAAGCAGACAGGGCCCTCTGAGACCTTGCAAATAATCAATAGCTGCTGCTTTTGAGAGAGTTTTAGTTGAGTCAGGCAATTTGTAGCCCTAAATATATCTTTCAATAATAATTACGTATAAAAACTAACTTACATTCTCAATAATTGTAATTGAATTATCATAGGTTTTTTTCGATCTTATTATTACTTTCTCACTTGGATCAAAAGCAAATGAACGAATTGTAGTATTTCTAACGTTTACCGATTTACCTGTAGTTAGTAAAAATAAAATCAGAAGAAACAATCAGATGATAAAAGAAAGTCTTGTCTGATTAGATAAAAAATTTACAAAGAAAATTTAATATTTAGCTTTTCTCTTTTATATAAAAGATTTGACAGATAAGTACTTTTAATCTTTAACAAATAAAAGATCTCTCGTCCAACTTTTTGTATAAAATTACCTTTAATAGTACAATATGTACATCCGAAAAATCCAGTACATTCTGTATGATTGAGTAACAACGATGTTGCAGGTTTGTCACAAACACAACCAAGTAAGTATATATTGACAATCTGTTCTGAATTATTTGATTCAACCGACGGAAAGAGTATAGAAATTCCATTTTCTAAATGATGCAGTTCATTCACTAGATCCTGCATAATAGACGACATTTCATCTTTTTTCGGTTTCATGCTTCCTGTAGAGATCATTCCAAGAATCGTATTTTCTGGTAGAAACCGTACTGCTCGAGGTAATTCATTTAATACAAAGCTCGTTAACCATATTGATTTTGAAATTATTTTAATTAAACCACCATCAGAGTTCATCAACAAGGTTACAAATGGTGTTTTTTCTTTCCTGAGTAACTTTTTATAAACTTGTCCATTAGTTATGTCCGAAATAGAATCATGATTGAGTTTTGGAAAAACTATTTGATTTTTTTCAAGAATCGAACGCACTTGCGGCTCAAGAGCAAAAGTATAGTTAATAGTTGGTGAACGAATGAAAGAATGTTGTGAGGCGCAACCATGTGTATTTGTACATCGTTTTAAATTCGAAGATTTTTGATAACAAGAGGGACATACGATGCTTTGTGTGGGAAAAGTTATTGATTGATAAGCACAAAGAACTTGAGACTCAACACTATCAAAACTAAGTGGAGCATTCGGCACTTGCAATAGTTGTAAAAGTTGACAAATATGTGTCATACAGGACTTGGTTAAGGAATGCCGACATCGCAATTCAATCAGTAATACAGATATTTCTTTTGAACTGAAAGATGTTGCAGGATTTTCAAAATCAGAATCGATAGAAAAGTTTGTGAAAATATTTTCTGAACTTTCTATGTTGATTGAATTGAATATTTCACCATCAATAGAACATAGAGAAACATTATCTTCGTTGTCAGAATAATCTGATAACGATGATAAAGATGATGATGATGAGATACAAGACTTGTTGTCTGTTGAAACAGCTGGTGGTAATGGTGATGTTGATAAAAGTAATGAAGAAGATGCAGATGGAGTACTAGTTATAGTAGATAATGATGATGATGTCGGTACGGAAACATGTGCACCGGCATAGCTAATATTCAAAAGTCGTTCAAATTTTATATCAATTTAATCCAATAGAACTCACTTGAAAACATCAATTACAGCATGTAAAGCTGCTTGTCGACTATATGCATGTGATATTCGTTGATTTAAGCGTGATAATCTTTTTCTTGCCGAAGACATTTTATTGTGCTTCGGCTGCCAGTCGTAGCGAATTAATATCCAATGTATCAGATGAGCAAAGAGATTTGCATAAACTTCAATAAATTAACAGGTATTAAGTTTTATTTGAAAATAATATTTAGTTTATGCGAAAGCAAAAAGAAAACCGCTAAATATTCTCAACAAGACCTGAAATAACAGTTCGATACATGAGTCAGAAAGAGAAGTACATACTTATTGACTTAGAATGATCAAAAGGAATTAAGACATGAAAAATAACAGTTTTAATTACAATGGTAAATGTACCTATTGACATTTAAAATGTGCTACCATCTGTCTATAACTAATCCACATCTCATAATAGTTTTTATTTAATAAAAAGTCTGTATAAATAAACAACAACTATTTATTTTTCATAATACATTTATTTATTTCGTTATTAATGGTTTTTGTTCTTCAAATCAGTTTCATTAACACACATACGTGCAAAAAAAATATAATAGTATCACACAACAGTATATATTTACAATATAAAATAAATATGTACAAAAACAACCGAGTTATTGAATCATGGCTTACATAACAAAAAATCAACATCACAAATAGTAAAAAAATCAAAGCAAATTTTTGAGAAAAAAAAAGAACTGAAGAAAAGTTTTACAAAGAAAATATAAACAAATACATATTTAATTAACGAGATAAAATACCCTATTTGTGAAGTTAAGTCGTACTGGATAATATTGTTTCTAAGAAAAATCAAATAGAACAATGAACTGAGAAAAATTAATCAAAGGTACCTTTCAAATCGTAATGAATTCGACATACTAGTCCATCATACCGTTCTCATAATTTGGATCGGCTTGTTGAACAGCTACTGCTGCGATTGTTCGACTTTGTTCCATCTTGATCTTGTGTCGAGCACATCGAATTGAGTTCCCTATAGCTTCTTTTAATATTGCCATTGAATAACCAGAACCGGGTGAGCAACGTCGAGCAAATACTATAACGGAAAAATACACAAGTTATTTCATAAAAATTTCAAATGATTTGAATTTTAACAAGGGTCCAATCAAAGATTGGATATAAAAAAACTTACTTAGAATGTTTTCGAGTAATGTAGGATGCTTAACATTCAAATTAGTAACATTAATTAAAGATTGTTTGTCTTGATTAGTAGGAAAAAGGGCGTTAAATATTCGTAGTGCAGTTTTTTGTGGTTCAGCATTCGAAAACGATAAAAGAGTTGTTTCAGGTAATCCAATATCATTAGCTAATTGATTTGATGAACGACTATCTTCATCATGTTCACTGGACCTAATTGAATCAAGTAATTGTTCGAGAAAAGCTCGACCATCAGCATTAGGCCGGGCTACAAAAAAAATTAAATTAAAGACATGATGCTACGAAAAGACAACAGACTTACGAAATGAACTGTTCTGAAGTCTTTGCGTGCGACGTACCAAAATTTGATAATCAGTTTTCCATCTTTCGTTCAAATTCAATGCACGTTGTAGTTCACGTTTTAATGTTCGATATTCAACAAATGTTTCTAATATAGCATTAGTATTTGTTGCATAATTGGTGCTAGATAAAGCTTGACTACCATTTGGTACTTGAGTTAATGGTGATGAATCTGTATAAGCACGTGGATTGATAGGTGTAGTAATATTTCGTGAAGGTGTATTCGACATTTTTAATTGATTGTCAACGGTGCTTGTTGATAATGGACCACGTGTTCTGTTTTTGATTTGACGCGATACGATAGACTCGGCACTTGCACACATATCAGATCTAAATTACAAGCATAGGAAATACATTTATGCATTAATGTAAAAGGGTCAAGTTGTTTATTAAACTCTTATAGTCATCGATTTGAATGTTTGGACCTTTATGTATTCAATATTTCTTATAGAGCAAAATTCTCATTCTTCAGAGAACTCGTCTGAAACTCAATAATAGACTTACTGGGTGTGATGTTGAGATCGAACTAATGGTGTTGAAGCATAATCTGGACGAGTTTTAGATGCAAATGCATTAGACATGAACATTGTTTGAAATTCATCAGTATCGTCATCATCATCCTCGATATGAAAGTTAGTTGTTGATGATGTTTTAACTTGAATACCTGTATTACTTGTATTGGAACAATAAGAACCAGAGGTTGATAATTCTGGATCCATGGGATTAAAATCATTAGAATCAATGCTCATTGATTTCGGATCTTTTGATGTATCTACAAATATGTCTTGTTGAATTAATGCTTTATAGAAAAGACAAGGAGTAATAACTCACCTTCCATAATACTATCTAATTGATTTTCTGTATTGTCATTAGCAACACATTTTTTATCTTGTTTTTTCTTCGATTGTAATTGTTTTTTTTGTTGTGTAGCTACCTGGAACTTGCTTTCGTTATGAGGTTCCATAGTACCAATAACTCGTTTAGTAAGTCGACGTTGTTTCGTTGTTGTTGAAGAATCTTTTCCGGAATTATTTTTTCGTTTAGGAGCCATTATGGTATTATTTAAGTTTAAAGATGAAAAGATAAAAAGAATAAGAAAAATGTATGTGTGTTAAGTGATGGTGATCAGAAACTGAATGGCTTGTTTACATGAAAACATCGATATATATATTCAGGAAAGAAAACAAAGGATGATGATATATATTAATAGATATATCTGATTACATGAAAGAAAAAAAGAATCCAGGGAGAGAGAAAGAAAGCGACTACGCGTACATTTTAGACTAATATTCACTTATCTAGGCAAAACAATTCACAATAATCTTATGCATACGATATATATCTCTTTCACACAATGAAATCTCCTTGTACCGTTCGATCAAAGGTCAATTTGAATAAATCGTATATCCGATTTTTCTTCAACTGTTAATGCTCCTCGTTTGATGATTTCAGTTACCGGATTGACTATCGTATTAGATATATGCCGCTTAATAATACATACTGAAGCGTTTTATTTCCACGAATCTTTCTCCAGATATTAAAAACATAATGTTTTTATTTTAAAAATTTCACTAAAATATAGTTGTTTTCATATCATTGTATGTATCTGCATAAAATATCAACATCAATTATATATATCATTCATTTCTTTATAATAATCGTTTTCGTCACCATGAGCGCTCTCTATATTGAATACTTTATGATTGGTTTGTTTTAATTGGTCACTCTTGGTCATTGTCTCTAGAGAAGAAATTAAAGACATATAAAGGGAAAGCAGCATTGAATCGTTCCATTTCTCTAAGATAACTGAAGGCAACCAGAATTATTCTTACGTTTTGAACAAATAAAAAATTTTTAAATATACAACATCTCTAGTCTTGAATGAGTCAATAATTTAGATCAGAGTTGAGAAGAATATTTAATTGAAGACTATCGATCTTAGGTGTCTGATATTCCTTAAATTTTTTGTGTGGTGAACGGTATCAAAATGCATTGAAAATATTCGCGAAATGTAATATTGCAAAAATAATAATGACACATAATTCATAAAAGAATGATACATTGTACTGCAGGGGACAAGAGTTCTCTCAAACACATTATAGTATGTAGACGGTGTTCGGACTGATCAACAATATGACAATTCTGGAGATTTTGAAATCGAGCTCACTCTAAATGCCGCATTATATCAAATGCTTTATTTAATACCGTAAATTGGTTTGACTTGATTATTGAGGGAGTAAAAGAATTAACACAGAAAAAATCTTATACAGTACTGATTTCGGCTTATTGATTGACACATTAATAGTGACAGCTCGAGTTTGATCAATTGTTTCATATTTTGTATTAGTTTTTGAGATGGTATCTGTTAGAGTAACATACACAGTAGATAAATATTGATCATTAAAATACTATTTTCATCATAGTTTTGAAATATAAGCAAATCTGATTTAGTGTTTAAATGGATTAGCAATTGACTTCTTGCTACAGATTATATATGACATGCGCTGCAGAAATTATCACGTTTTTTTGTCCAACGAGTTTAAATAATTAAATTTTCTGTTGAAATTATTTGTTGTATTATTTTTGCTTTATATGATGCACAAATGTGCGAGAGATCTTATGTAGAGTCACGAACAATTGATTGTACTAGATAGTAATGAGTAGCGAAGTATACATTAGAGCAGATACATACATACGAAACGTAGATATTTTAAATATTTCTCAAGCTTTCCTTTCAATCTAAGCTAGTTCTACTTTATTTTCGAATGGATCAATCTTCTCTAATGCAATGATGATAAGATCTATAAAGTAGAGATACTATTAAACTAAAGAAATAGCAGGCAATAAGATGTAAGGAGAACAGTTTGAGCAACTAATCTTTGAAGTCAAAACGATGACTTGCAATCTGTAAAGACTAGGTCAACTATTTCTTGACAACTATGAAAAGTAAAGAAAGAAAAAGTCAATTTATATAATTGAGAATCAATCAGAAATGTCAATGAACAATATTAAAAATGTTGATAATTATTTAAATTTTCTTCCTGTTAGTCAATTAATCGATTCTATTCAAAAATATAATTAAATTAATGTTACATTAATATTTATTCACTTATTTATCTACTTATTATTTGAAAACTTTCTGAAGAACTTTCTCTTTTATCACTGCGTTTATATTCACATTCAGGTTAGTTATACGTTTTTCTATTTACACATTTATCTATTTTTTTTCCTAACAGTGGAACAGAAAATAAAAACACGTAGCTTAATTATCCGATATTATTGACGTCTTATCATTTTGTTTCATTGTTAGAAAAATAAATAATAGATGGATGTGTATGTTGTGATCAAAATTAATATTCAGTCAAATTTTAAATTTGCCCACTCAAAATGAACATTTTAAATTTGGGCAGACAAAATTGAAATTTTGATTTTGTCCAATATAGCATCAGTCAGAAATAAAGTTTTAATTTTGACTGGGCAAACTTGAAATTGTTCTTTTAATGAAAATGAAAAGCTAAAGAACAACAAATAGTTAAAGTAGTGACAACTTTTTTATTTCAAAAAAATTATGAACAAATATTATAAGAGTGTGAGGGCAATGGGGGCTTTTAGTAATGTCAGTTCATATTTATTTCAATTTAACTCATGCGTAAATTAAATTATCGGTAGTTTAAATTTAAAATAAAAGTAAACTAGTTTTCTTAATAATTTATATATAAAAATAACTTTAAACTATCATAATTTATATTTAAAATAAAGTTAACTTTTCTCATACTTTAAATTTAAAATGAAATTTAAGTTGTCTTAAGCTAAATTTATTTTAAATATAAATATTGAGAATTAACATTTATTTTTAAATTTAAATTTTGAAAAAAGTATAACTTTATTTTAAATATAAATTATGATAGTTTACAGTTATCTTTATATATAAGTTATTAAGAAAACCAGTGTACATTTATCTTAAATTTAAATTACCGATAATTTAATTTTACGCATGAATTAAATTGAAATAAATATGAACTGACACTACTACAAGCCCCCATTGCCCTCACACTCTTACAATATTTGTTCGTCATTTTTTTGAGTTAAAACTTGTCACTACTTTAACTATTTGTTTTTCTTTAGCTTTTCATGTTCATTAAAAGAACAATTTCAAGTTTGTCCAGTTAAAATTAAAACTTTATTTCTGACTGACGCTATATTGGACAAAATCAAAATTTCAATTTTGTGTGGCCAAATTTTAAATTTGACCGAATATTAATTTCGACCACAACATGTATATTGGAAAATTTATGATTAACCTTAATGTAAGTATGAATGCAGTGATAAAAGAGAAAGTTCTTCAGAAAGTTTTCAAATAATAAGTAGATAAATAGGTGAATAATTATTAATGTAACATTAATTTAATTATATTTTTGAATAGAATCGATTAATTGACTAGCAACATCTGAAAAGTACTAATGTAAAGCATTAAAGGGAGAAACGCGGATTAAAATGAGTTTTTTACATAAACTGAACCATTAATACGACTAGAAAAAAAATGAAAATAATGATGTAAAACGGTCACAAAAAATGCCAAAAAATGGTCTGTTTTATAGACATTATTTCGCTGTTTCATATACAATTTTCACTTAGTCAAAAATAGACATTTTACTATGTCACAGAAAAGTCATATTAATGCACCACATAAAAAGCATTTTGAGGCATTTTTTGTGACAGTTTTACATCATTATAATTATGTACATTTGAAGACATTTTAATACCATTTTATCATTTTCTTCCCTGCCTGGGATCTTCCTTCATACTGAGAGAAGGCTGATTTCTTGTAAAATCTTGAACAATTAAGAAGTGTCTTGATTAAATTATGAAACACTCAGAAACTATTTTTTAATTATAAAAATAACTATTCCTATGAAATAAACCATGCGAATCACTAATTTCATTTCCACTGAGAACTACTGTATTGATTAGTCTCTCTTCAAAAACAATAAACGAGANTTGTATTGGAAACAGCATCAGAATTAGTTTTGATATTCATATTCTTGTAGAGCTCGTCGAGCTCTATCGAACCGTATAACAATATCTAGAAAACGATATTTTCCTTCAGACGTTAGAAGCATATTCTTTTTTTGCAAAAACGTAACGTGTTAAATGCTTAGTCATCATGAATAAAATGATCATAACTACGGCACAATTTCAACCATTTTTTTTTCATATGATAGCTCTTCTCATTCTCTACAAAACTGTATATTTCAATCAACTATCTATATATATATTCATATAGATAACGTCAATTTACAGAGAGGGGTCGAAACTTATGGGCCACCCTTTATTCTGTTCATCGAATCTACAATTGAAATATTAATCAGTAAGAGAGAAAATAAAATATTCAGTTATAAAGCATTTCATCTCGAAAGATGTTCGTTCATCTCGCAGAAATCATTTTTGAAAGAGCATATCGAATGCATCTTTGATAGTAATAATATTTTTATTGATCAATTTAAGTCAGTGTAGATTCGGCTGTAAAAAGTATATAAAGATCCATATCGATGAACTCAATTTTCCGACATATTTGTGCCTGATTGTAAAATAGCAAGTTCAGAAGACATCACTTTCTTAGACTGTCAACAATTTTTAAAAATGAAGATTCGTTTTCAGTTTTTAATAGAAAAAATTGATGACAAGTGTCGATTTGATTAACGATCGTGGTCTTGTGGGACTGAATGCAATGGCTTAAGCTCATAACATTTGAGTTGCAGGTGATCGCGGCTTGTCTCTTTCTTTTTCGTTAATATCCTACTCGAATCGCTTAAATGTAGAGATTATGCAATTTTATTCGTTTCTTCTCTTTATTACGACATACAGTGACGACGCTGTGTAAAAATAAGTGAACAAAAAAAAACAAAGACTTGATCGAATCCGTTGCCCTCTAGATTTCGTGTAGGAACTCATCAGAATTGATTATCGACAATGATCATATTCGTGTGTGAGTGTTGGTTAACAGAACATTGCCACCCATATCCTTTCTATCTACATGATTCGTCTAATATATTGAGAAACGAAATACTTTGAATAGTAAAGAATATTTTCATAAAATGTATATTTATTTTTTAAAATGAAAACAAAATCATCAAATTCGTTCATAAAAAGAATAGCTTAGTTTTATTCCAATTGTAAATAGATAGTATCAAATAAACGTGTCATTGTATAGTTAAAAATTAATTTCTTAGACTTGATCATTTTTTGTAAGTTTTTCATCATTTCATCATCTGCTGTTGAAATGGAAAAAGCCAATAAACAAAGATTATGATTAGATTTCGTACTAATTTTCATTAATATAATGCTTAGAAATAATTCAATATTTATAATACTTGCACAACCGATTCGAAAATATTTCATACGAGGAAATACATCAATAAGAAAAAGAGCTTCTTCAAATTTAATCATCATTTCAAGATAAACTTTTGTAATTTTATTTCTACGTGATACATAATAAATATTTTCTAGATCATCAAGAGATAAACATGTTGATTGTATTAATGTTAAAGACCATATTTTCAATGAATCAAGATCAGGCAAGACATTGATAATTTCAAGTAATGCACCAATAAAAATTTCTGCATTTGGAAAAAAATTCAAATGATAAATAGATGCCACTGTTGTGGCCCAAACAATCTCTTCAAGTAATAAATTAAGATATTCATCAAAAGGAATATATAGAATAGTAAGCATAGTTAAGATATCGCTATTGGAATTTATATCAATATTGACAGATTCATACCATCTTTTTCTGAAAAGAAAATTTATTTAACATTAAAGAAAAACAAATCTTCATTAATGTACTTATAAGGAAAAATTGAAAAACTAATTTCTTCAATTTCAATATGAACATCAAATATCCATTGTCGTTTAAACCAAAATGATGAAATAAAATGATTAGGTTGACCAAGATAATCTAAAAGTTCATTTTCTTTATAAACTGTATTTTTATAATATTCAAAATAAAATATTTTCAAATTAGGCAAATATTGTAAAATTAATCGTTCCCATAGATTAGAATTAAGATAATTTATATCTTCACATCTAGTACCAAAACGAAAAACTTCTAATTTCGAAGGTAATTTTTTAATTAATATTTCAATTTCATCAAAAGATACACAAATTACATTTATACTAATATATGTTAAATTGGATAATGTTATTGGTAATATTATTCTAACATTTAAATCATTTTCAGATAGATGAAAGAATTTTAAATGAGTAAGTTCAGATGTATATGAAAGTAAAGCAGCAAGTTCATTGAATGTAGTAGAATGTTCAATAATAAAACGTTTAATTTTACTCAATTGTTGATTATTAGTAGCAATCGGTAATGAAACTAAACTGTACCATTCGTATGAATCTAATTGTAAATATTTTAACACTGGTAATACAAAAATCGATTGATAAACATCACAAAGATCTTTTGAAGTATCAGATGACTTAATATTTAATGTGAAAAGACGTGGTAAACAAATTAGTTGTTTAAGAAATACGGCAAGTGTATCTCGTTTAATTCCTTGAAGAATAATTGATTCAAGACGATCAAATGATGAATCGATGATAATCGAAGAGAAAAAACTATCAACATGTAATTTTGATGATAAATTAAGTGATAATAATTGATGTTTATTAAGAAATCTCATTTGTTTATAATTAGTTATAAATAATTCATCAGATGTAAAATGAAATTGAATTTTAAATAAAATACACGAAGAATTAAGAAATTGTTGAAAACGATAATTAAGATTTGAAAATGCGTTATATATGTCGCAACCATCAAGATAATCCAATATTTCATTAAAAAGTTCATTTGATAAATTTTCAAGATAAATTATTGACATACTATCTTAAATAAGAAAAAACATACAATGTCAGAATGAGATATTTTTATTATTGTTATAACCAAAGAAGCAACGTGATGGAATGTTAATAGAACGGAACGAAAAAATAATCTCTTTCGCGAGAAATCGAACTTTTTATCTTCTGCTTAATGGGCAGATGTACTACTATTATACATAAGAAAGAATATTCTCTGTTTGTCTTATAACCGAAATTAACATTTCAGATATTATTATTACTCATTTATTTTGATTTAATTGATTTAAAATATTTAAATCTATTATACATAATTTACTTACTAATTTTATCTTCGTTTCATTGACTCCATATATTTGTTTTTACCATTCAAGTGTAAATACAGAAATATCTATTTATATATAAAAGCAGATTATAATGATTATGTGTCTATCTTATAACATGCTGATATCTGATTCATTTTTCTTCTGATATATAAAATATTTCGAATGAATCATCTTTTCGGTATATCTCTGTTCTTTTTCTGTCGAACTTTCATTCAAGCTTGAACAATTGATCTTGCTTAATGATTTATTGTCTACTGATATGCTGATCAAATATATGATTTATATCTGTTGAATGTTGTCTGTTTCAAATTGCCAATTGTAAAATTTTTCTAGCCGATATATTAAAAAAAAGCCTTGTCAAACATGTTTCTTTTTAAAACTCAAAAAAAAAAATCCATCCTTAGTATTTTTGTTTAACTGTATAAATGAGTCCTATCAGGTGATTACTTTTTTTCCTCTATTCATCATTTAATTATTAAAATAAATACAATTATGCATCAGTAAAAAATTTGATCATTTGAATTTTTCGTTAACTTAATGAATGGTGATTGGAAACTGCCATTTTGCCCATTATTGTTTATAGAATGTTTTAAATAATGTACAAAATCTTATCATTGTAAATTATATTTTCTTGTCTATTTTATTTCCTCTACCATCACATCCACGATATAGCTCTTGACATCTATTCAGTGAAATGAAAACAAATCATTCATTGTGATATTCATATTAAACCAAACGGCTTTAATAATATCCGTTTAAAAAGAATACAAAAAACGAAAGAACGACCAAAAAACTGTGTTTGTTGTTCTTGTTTTGAGCATTCGTTTGTATTTATGATAAGTAAAAATGTAACATGGAAAAATCCATTTTAGGTACGTTTATGTAGGTAATCTGTTTATTTCATGTTGTAAAATCAAGTCAAGAAAATAAACAACAACAACAGTTCTCTCTTGATAAGCGCGAAGGCAAAACCCACGTATATGGCATCTTCCTCACTGCAGATCAGGGCGAAAAACTCACTTCTCTAATATATCCTTTATTTTCTATACGAAAGCAGACAAGATAAATAAGAAAACACATTCAAACTTTTAAACGAAATTTCAATCGTTTAAAAATGTAACCTATAGTAACTAGTAACAACATGCAACATTATGGTGTAATTTTCGGTAGATATATCGACGTGCTTTTACGAGATCAAATATCTTTATGCGTTCATAACGTATTTTTATACGTTCGAGTTTTTAAATTAAGTGATAAAACTCGCATGTCCATCAATATGTATAATCAAATTAAATTACTATCGTCTCAATCATTAGCAATGCACAAAAACATATCGGTATTATTGTTCACACTAGAGGGATCAATTATTAAAGTAAAGATGTTTTATACGAAATAGTTTTTGGCTCTAATTTAATAATTAGTTTAGCACTTGAATCTTATGTTATGTAGTTTGTCATAGTTCTCTTCATTTCTTCAATAAAGATCTATCCGAGGATATGTATATACATATATATACGTTTAACTTTACTCTGTTGACTTATCATCATCAAGACGTCTCTAATATAATTATAGCTTCTTAAACTCAAACTTAGGAATTAAGAAATGCTACATGAGTCAGTCCAACAAGAAATTATGTTATATGAAAAGTTTTTGATCAATCTCTTTGATTATCGCAAACGAAAAAACATGTAAAAAGACCTTTAAATAAAATTTTAGCCTTGTCTAAGTCACTATTGAATAGATAGAGAGAAAACGCTGAACGTGTTTTCATAAAACTCCAAAAATAATGATCATTTTTATTTTGTCCTTTCTTGCTCCCAATATATATTATGTTTTATCCTAATAATCAGTCGAATAAATGCAAATAATACCTAATAAGATAGAGAAAATTTGATTCTGAGTGTGAGTGATGTGAGTCTGGGTGAATAGAATATTCACACCCACACCCAACCTAGAATGAGATGTACAAAAGTCCTTAAGGCAAAGCATTTTATGCCATCCTTTTATAATAGCAGAAAAATTCTGTTACAAAAGCATGAGGTTAATCAATACGATTTTTCTATTTTCTTGCAAAAAAAGATTTAGTAATTCGAGACTGTGATTCAGTCACGTTCTCCTAACGGAACTAGAATGTTCCTTAAAAAAAAGTCAATTAATTCTTTACATAGAGCATTCATTCATACAATCAGAAACATCTTGTTTTTTTTTTAATAATAATGAACAAAAAAGTATTCTCGTCACTAAATTACCTTCACAAATGAGCTCCTTTTCAAATATAAATACCTTTCTTTGAAAAGTGACAAGATTTAAGCATCTTGTCATGACTAAAGAAACTATTCAATGCAGTTTTATAACATCCAATGAGTTTTGAAAAAAACAAATTCGTTTTTAGGAAAGATTCGAAAATAAAAACTTATGACAAATATTGGAACTTACTGATTCTAAGTAATTTCTCTTTAACAGTATGTTTCCTCTAAGGCATACGTCTGTCATCACATAAATCAAATCTACACTTTTATTTACGATCGACATCGCCGTATAAGATGATCATATTATTTTTTTTGTTTTGTTTAATTCTATAATTCTATTTCGCCAATAAAGGTGAATCATTACGTAGGCAGATCGTTATTGATTTTGTATTATTATTGTTTCAGTGGCCATATTATTTGTAATAATAGATTTTTATTCATTGTTTATTGATAATGTTTAGAATTAAAATTACTCCTTTTTAGTGTCCTTTTTATTGTTGCTGTTGTTGCTATTCTTGCTGCGATACGTGACATTATGTTTTTGCTACAGATCAGTGCAAGAAGATGATAGCATTGAATACATTTTACTCAACATAAATACAATTTGTAACCGCATTTCTGGACTTCGCGATTTGAGTGCTTGATGGATATTTAAAATAGTACTTTTGTGTATAAATATACAAGCTATTTCATTCATTAGATACGGGACTTTGCAAAAAATAATAAAAATGTGTATATCTTTGAAGTCCAGTATTTCTTTTAGTTGATTTTTATGTAACATACATATTCTACAGGTACTGAAGAGTATTTGAAGTGGATATTTCGTTTCTTCATATTGATTGTTCTTTCAATATAAGAAAAAGTCAAAATACCAGATGCACCTTAAAAAGCATTTGATCTTTTTTTTTACTAGGACAAATGTTGGGAAAGCTTCCAAAAATTACTAGAGCAAATATTATGTCGGAGAAGCAAGAGTGAAACAATAATTTTTTCTGTAAAATTTCAATTCGAGCAAAACTCAAAACAAAATTGAGGGTGTGAGTGTGGTGTGTGGGTGAGTGTGAGTAAACTCAACAATTGCACCCACATCCTGATTTGTGAATCCAAATGATATTGCGATAAAATTTCTACTATGATACGGGAGATAGTTCAAGGCAATTTCTCATTTTGAAGGGTGTCGAAAAAGAAGTTCAAGTATAAAAAATATTGTTTTATATGTTTTGACTGATTATTAAGTTGAAAAACTTTTATAAGTTGTGTATAAAATGATAAAGTCTTTTAACGGTATTGATTTGTGTTGAGCAAGGACTTTTTCTCTCAGAAGCTGTTATGTTTTTTTCAGTGAGTAGATATTATTATATGAGAAATCAAATAATATGTATTTAAAAATAAATCTTGCAATTGAAAAGGGCCGATCAAAAAGAAATTGTGTATGACTTTTAATGACTTTTCTTGATCTTTATTTTACATAATTAATTTCACATTTTTTTTCGAGCTTTTAATTCGTAAATATTATATCTTGTACTAGTAGATGAAAATTTGACCAATGTAAAGATGCTTTTAAGTTATAATCATGAATAAACAACTCTTAACCATAGCAGTAAGATAATTATTCGCTATAATAGATAATACTAATCAAGTCTACTTGGAAAAATCGTAATCTCATTCTTTAATTTCGTTTTGGACTAGTTTCATTTGTAATATTATTATAAATAAACTCAAAAGTATGCATGCAGTAACAAATCATTTCTTAGCAAGTAAGAAAACGTGGATTTTATCCAAAGGCACTAGATGAATTACTTTTTGAGAAACGAAAGAGGATTTTTCCAACCAATGAAACGATCGCTGAAAGTAAAGAAAAGTTATGACTGTCTTATACTCGTAAATGTTCACGAACTATATATTTTTTTTCCCATTTGATATCTTTTTGTACGAATGATGCTTATACACCAGAGACTGACGGGACACGGGACAAAATATCACGGGATGCGGGATAGGCGGGACTCAATGATTCTCCCGCTTACTTTCATTAATGAAACAAACAACAAACATAACCGTCCGTGTTGTGCATTACAACATCGATTGATTTTATGTCACAAGAGTAGAACAATGGTTATCCAAGCAGTCGACTCTTGTGTGAACACTAGAGGTCTGCAAAGTGGTCACGGTCACGGTCACGTGTGACCGTAACTAATTTTGGAAAATTTTCGTGACCGTGACCGTAACCATGACCAAGTAGCTCGTGACCGTGACCGTGACCGTGATCGAGAATATTTTAGCCAAGAAGGAAAAAAATAAAAAGTTCAAAACTTTTTATTACGAAATCTTGACCTACATCGTTCACAAACACAAGACTAAATCGTGACCAAAGTGATGAACCACGATCGGTTTTTTGGACCCTTTTTAATGCGATCTAGGTATCGTTTTTCTTCAAAAGTTCTTCGAGTTCAGTACTGGTTTATAATTTCCAAATAATGGTTGATGAAAGAAGAAACAAATCGATTGCGTACTCGATCGGCAGGAGATTATTATTAATAGCAGTTTAACCCATTGACTTGCATTACAGGTCGCTATGATTAGGGATGTACCGAGACTAAAAATTAGGTTTTGTATTTTTTTCTAAAATAAATTCTTAATTGTGAAAACACAGGACTGACAAAGTTTTTGAAGTATTGATGTAATAGAGCGAACATTTTTCTACAAAATGAGAGGTGGACGAGGTTGGTGCGACTTATGGTTCAGGTTTTATTAAAGGTTTGTCAAAAGCCCTAAAACCGAGACCAAAACTCTCGATCTCGGCTTTAACGCTCTTCGTAAAATTGCAATAAAACTTGAACCACAAGTCGCATCAATCTCGCCCCCCTTCTCAGTCTGTAGGAAAATGTTTGTTCTACAAACATGTATGATTATCAAAATTGAACTGCATTGCTTATAATGAGAGTACCCTCGAGGAAAAAGGGTAAAAACCGAGAAATAGTCGTTACATCCCTAGTAAAGATACAATTCATTGGATTTTCACAAACCAATGTCATTCTAGCAAAAGTTCACAATTGTGGCAACCATCAGTAGCTGTCGTTACTTAGCAAGCCTCTCTTTAATAGCAACTACTGACACTATTTCAGGATCCATGTATTTCTCATGGCTATGATCGTGACCGTGACCGTGACTAATTTTGGAAAATCATCGTGACCGTGGCCGTGACCGTGACCAAGTAGCTCGTGACCATGACCAGGTGGCTCGTGACCGTGGCGTGACCGCGACTAAAAAGCGTGGTCACGCAGCTCTCTAGTGAACACACATTGAGACAGAAAAAGAACAATATTGACGGCCAAGTTGAATTGAATGAGATGAATGATGACAAAAGAATAAGAAAAATATTATAATATATTTCGTCTAACATACAAAATGATATAAATCGTTACGTATGCATACAGTTGTTCATTCTGTTTCATTGTCGCAGTTGTTGATTTCGAAAGTTGCTCTTTTCAATTCGTATTTATACATGGATTCTACGCCAAGCTAAATCGATGATCGTAGCTATTCTCCACGCTCTCGTACTATTTCGTCTTCATTGGACATTACTCTCGTCTCTCCTACTTCAACACCATCAACATTCATTCGTACTTCAAGTCATACGACTTATTCTTGTCTACAAATTGAGAGTCTCTTCAAGAAAAAGAAAAATCGTTTCGTCGTTATTAAAAATACAAATAGCAAACTGACGTCTGCGTTTTGGCAAGTATTTGGATTTCCCGCAATTATTGATTCTAATGGTCGTCCTCCAGAACGCATTGACAAATTTGTTTCTTGCCGGACTTGCTACAAGACTTACTCATTCACATCCAGCAGTAATCGCTTTCTTCTCGATCATCTAAGCAACTCGTCTAAATCTACCGATGGATCAGTATATATATACGCTGTCTACTTTTGGTGAAAATATGTCCGCGGGATTAGCCGGAACGGGATTGAAAAAATTTTAGCGGGATGCGGGACGGAACGGTAGTGAAAATATTTAGGCGGGGCGGGACGGGACGGGAGACAGTCTCTGAACAACTCCCGGCGGGCCTTGCCGGGACAGTTTCTGATCGTCCCGTCAGTCTCTGTTATACACTTTGGCTATATTAACATTTTCAGTTAGAAGAAAAATAAAGAAAAATCTTTTTAACTGTTTTAATTTGCATATGATTATCTGTTCTGAATGGAAGCACTGTTGTTGTACGAAAGCAAACATCAATGAACAAACAGGAAATGGCGTAGGAAATGCCAACACTATCATCGTCACTAATCAACCAACGGTAAATATCATTCTTAAAATTTCTATTAAAGCAACACTGAATTTTTAATCATCGTTCTCTCCTTTCCAACAACAACCTTCGACAACATTTTCTATTCAAATGAAAGTGAGTGTTTTTGTAATGAAAATTCATCAAACATATTCTTCGTTTTTCTCTAATAGATAGAATCGCGAGTTTATATAATTTCATTAAAGGGAATGAATATTACTGTACAAAGAGATTGATCTGGCGAATCACCTCCTCGACGGTCAAATGTCAAAAATATTCTTCAATAAATAAAAAACATGAAACAATTCCTTTAATTATCGCTTTTTGTTATTTTATTTGTTTTTTTTTTCGTCGAGCACATCTGAAACAAGTTTATTAAATCAATCTTTCATTCTTTATCTAATCTTAAATCGATGTTTATTATTAATTATTGAAAAAAAGAATGTCTTGAACAGAAGCTTGTCTCAGTTAAATTACATAATTTTTTTTCGTTCTGATTAATTAAGTTTATGTTTGGGCTATAATGGGTGTCGGTGTGGGTGCGGGTGTGGGTGAATAAATTAACTAAATCGACACCTACACTCCACCCACGCACACTCTAGACAATTGTTCAAGATCTTAGATTTCCAATGGGGATAGTATCCTCTTCACAGGCTACTATGTTACAAGTTCTGATTCACTCATGTTTTAGCTTATTTGTTGCTTTTTGAAAATATATGAGAAATACGGCAGAACATGTTGCGTCGATTAATGCAACTGTTTAGTGTATTTCGTTTCGTGATGAATTACAAGAGAGTCATTTTAAACAAGAACACCATAAACGAGAATAAAAATTAGAAAGAATAGCTGCTCTATTTTGAAACTGAACATGGTACCGATTCCTCTCATTCTCGTCGATAAATCTGAAGTAGTTGACATTGCTGCACTCGATAGCGAAGAAGAAGCTAATGTTGTTATTGTTGTTGTCGTGGCAGAAAATGAATAGTTGAGCGGAAGCTTAAAACGATCGGTGACGAGATTCAATGCATATAAAAGTGTTTCGTTTCGATTGCACATCGGTCGATTACATACTATCCAATACATTTGTATGGCACCATCCTTCATCAGATTCTGCTGTATGAGCATGAAATCGGGTGGATATAGAGGATCATCGGCACATCTTGTGGATTTCATAATCTCAAACGACGTATCCGTTGCACTGATTGTCTGTACGACAAGCGCTTTACAGAATTGATTTGAGGCGCATCTCTTATCCGAGCACAGTACGCCTTGTGGATCGGGTTTAGTAGGGTAGAAAATATCAGTCAATATTTGTTGCAATGCAGTGGCATTGAATTCAGCCATGGCAGAAGTAAGCGTTTCATGAACAAACTCTTGATCACATTTATCTGTCACGCAATCATAAACAAGATAGGTCGATATGTGTGATGAATTGAGTCCAGTGACAATGTCAAATTTTGAACTAGTTTGTGTTGCATTACTCGATTCAAAACTTCCATTGGCGATGCGTTATGTGAAGTCAAGTCGAAGTTCGATCGAACATAGTGTGCTGTGATCGGCTGTTGCACATGTCGGTGAAGTGATATTAATCGTTAATGGACCGAATGAACAATTTTGAGTGCATGTGATTGTTTGCACGAGAGAAGGTGCTTGAAAAACAAATAGTAAGACTGGAATAAGCAAGAGAATCATGTTACTAAATAACCATTGACAATTTAGATGAAAAAAGTTGTGAGTCAACACCGACCAAGCAAGTTCTTATCTGTCATAGATATTTTTTACTTTTAACACAGATGTGCTGTATGTTTTCACTTATCATGTTTAGTGTGATATACCTGACTCGAATAGAACATTTTAAAGCGATCTCCACAGTGACAATTACGTTTATTCATATTTTAGAGTGAGTTCAGGTGTGAATCATAGGCGACGGAGCCATTAGACTTATGAAGGCTCAAATATTTGTAAATAGTTTAGAGACATACTCCTGAGTTTATACCTTATTAGCGAGAATTTTCTGAACCAGAATTGTTACGTGCTTTTCTGAATGATAGACTCACTCAAGCATTAAATATCCCATGTGCCCTACTATATTTCTTTGAAACATATTCATCTATTACTACTGTTTATTCTCTAGTAGTGACTCGTCAATAGAGCTCAATAGTCAACACATTCAACTCGTCTGTAACGTCTCATGTGCTTTTGTTGATCATAATCATTTTTCTTCGCTTTAGTTTTATAAAAGATTTTGCAGTAATAGACGAAGAGTAACCTTTTCACAGACAAAATATTTGCTTCATAGTATCAACATTCGTCTTTTTCAAAACAATAAGGAAAAAGTTGATATATCCCCCCCTCCCCTCCAATAGAAGACCCCGGGTCTTCTATTATGTTCCAGCGTAAAAATTTTCCAGGGGGGTCTTGTATTATGTATGTCCCATATTTTTTCCCAATTTCTAATTAAAAAGGTTTTCCAGAAAACCGAGGCGATTTTAAGGATTTCCATCAGAATTTTTCAGGATTTTCAGAGCCTAGACATAATTTTGAGCTTACTCTCTTAAGTTTTTCTGCTTAAAATCCTGAAAATCGGGCATATTTTGACGAAAATACACTAATTAAAGTTTCTAATTAGCAAAAAATTAATTAATTAAAGGGGGTCTTCTATNGAGACCCAATAATTTCGTCAATATATATAATAAATTGTTCTTCTGTGTGAATGAATATGTACAAGCAATGGAAGCACATTTAACGAAATAGTCCTCGAATGAGCTCATTGTGTTCCACTGTTCAACAAACAAATCATTCAATATTGTTTCGATAGTTGTCCTCGGTGAGAATCTTGTTTGAGCAATATTAAGAGTATTAATTGTGGTAATATTATGAAACGAAAAGAATGCGAGCACTATTTCTAGACATGTTCGATTGAAGAAACATTCGAGTGTCGACCGAAGCAAAGCTTCTATGGCATAGCAACCAGTTACAAAACCTGTCACATTTACCACTGACAGTGTTGGCAATGTAAAATTTCCGTTGTTGACATAGGTTCACATATTGAAGATACCAGATGATGATGAACAGGAGGATGTGATGCCGCAGGAGCATAATGTAGCATTATCATCGAAGAAAATGCTACTCATCGCATTAATAACTGCTGTACGATCGCTTCTGACGATTATTGAAAGACTTTTTGATGTTTGAAATGTTGATTGTAATTGATTGTTTTGTGTAGTACTACGTATAAGACTTAAAACTTGACGCACAAAATTAACGGTTGATGTTCGTAAGAATAAAGTTTCAGATTGAACCTGAGCATCCATTAACTGTTGCGTAACCAGTTGTGGACTGAAGAAAGTGTTGAAAAGAAAATCATCAATTGAATCACGTAGCGACTGCTTGACAAACGAACAAAGTGAGGAAAGCATTTGAAATTGGCCTGTGGCCGATGAACGAAAATCTAGTTGGAAGAAATAGCTAATGTCCGGATCAAATAAAAGATTGATCCAGTCATTGGAGACAAACCAACTTGAACATATAGGATGAAATAGAGTAGACATCGAAACAAATGTAGTGTACGGAATGGTCACTTGACTACATGGACAAGAAAGTGTGTTCACATCTTTTTTCTTCAAAATCTCATAGATTGTTAGAGATGGATTTTGAACAGTAAAAACTTGAGTTTGGCCATCTGGTTCAACGTATATGATAAGAATAAGAACGGCCAATGTAAGAAGAACAAGATAGATGCGAGTTGATATAATGGCCATTCGATGATGAAATGCATCAGATCGAGAAGTTAAATCATCAAATAAATTCAATTCTTTCACTGGTCTTTTAATGTATTGACGAGAAGTAACATTCATTCTTATATTTTCAATGAATCTTTAAAATCAAGGTGCAAATCACTGTCATCAGTTGAACGTGTTAGCAGCGAAATTTGTGCTTTCTCTCTCTTCAAATCTATCTGTTAGTTCTACAAACAAACTGAATAAATTAAAAAGCGAGATAGACACAAAATCATCGTTAGAAGTGAGAATTGCCTTCATTTCTAAATGACCGCACTTCTAACGAATGTCGATATAAAAAAATCCCTTCCTTACCAGAACGAGTTTTACTTGGTCTGCTAATGAACGGAATTAATGAGTTTTTCCTCAAAGTGGTTATGTGCAGTGTACTGCTGTGCATATTGCAAAAATGCAACTTACACTAATGTCTAAAGTAGAAAATAATGTGAAAAGAAAAATTAATGATAAAAAATGTTGTCAATAAGTGTTTGTTTTGAGTGGAAAGTTTCTAAAAGAAAAAGAAAAAGTAATGCACTCATTAATTAAACTTTCGATTATTGAACGTAGCACGCAAAATGGTCATACGATTCACTAACTAGAAGATTATTTGAAGAAAAAAAGTGCAAATGGTTTATTTGACTGACGAAGGAACATCACCAACTGATACCCTCCGTTTGAGCTCATATTTTGCTCATTGGTAGGAATCATAGTGCAGATAAAAACTCTAGAGAAGTTCGTGTTCATAGACCTTTCTTCTCGAGTTATGATCACACAACTGAATTTTCAGCCTATGACAAGGTATTATAAAAAAAAACTGCAATAAGGAACTTTTGCCTGAAAATTTCCTCAATAACAGTCCTCATGATCCTTATTATATCCTGAATACTTTGAGCTCAAACGAATGAGTTTTTCTGAAGAAATGAGATATCTTAAAAATGGACCTTTTTTCAGAGACTTTGTAAAAAAAAGTAGTATTTAATGGAAACGTATTATCTCGAGAGAGAAGCATTCGTTCAAGCTGAAAATGCAGTTAAATGATCATAACCCGAAAAGAAAGATCTATGGGCATGAACCCATCTAAGGTTTTTATCTAAACTATGATCCCTATGAATGAGCAAAACATGAGCTCAATCGGAAGGTATCTGTTGGGGAGGCTCCGTCGTGAGACTTTGACTATACTTTAGGATAAGTGTCAATGCTTTTCGTGTTAATTTGAATTTGTTCACAAATTTGATTCAGTCTGGTGAACATTAGGTGAAGTTTGTTTCCTTACCTTGTTGTCAGCTCGCAACAGTCTAAAAAGAGTGTATCTACACAGTTACACACACATATATAAACATCCCGAAGAGAAGGCCGAGAAGAAAGAAGAATAAATGGTAACAATGAAGAGAGAAAAGAAGAAAAAAAAGAGAAGATGGATTAAGGTTTACAACGGTAAGAAATGACTGATAACAGCGCTCCTCTCCTGTTCTGTATGTGTGCCTAGACACATCAATAATATGTCTATCAAGAATACCTATCATTCGCGACAAACTTTGGTTCACTGAATCAATCGCTATATTCACACTGATGAATAAGTAAACATATAATCTATTCTAGTAGTCAAGTAGGGCAGTTATGTTAGGGATGTTTTTAAAGATAAGATATAAGATACGTATTATAATCAAATATCATCCTAGAACTGATACAGGGCTGTCAAATGTATTCCATTTTGCTTTTTTTAACCTTTTATTGCCAGAACGACGTTCATTGCGAACAATATTGATGAATAATTGACTACCGATTAGTCATATATATATTATTCATTCAGTTTTGTCTTAATCATTTTTATTTGCGACTATGGCTGAATGATTCATGTATTTGACACGTACTATCAAAGTATTGTGTTTGAGTCTCGACGCCATCAGATATGGAATGACTATAGACAAGTCACTAACGGCTGTTTGTCTTCGATCAGGCGTATGATTACAAAACTGACTACGTAGTGGAAACGATTGACTTTTGTCACTAGTATATGGTTAATCAGTGCGTATGGGAGCTCAGATGACCGTCTGTCCGCAGCTGTAGCTAGCAATAGCCGTAGGGAAAATATTAGGCTTTCGAAATTGTCTTCGGACATCACTCTATACCGTGAGGTAGTCGCAAGACAGGGTATTCTTCTTCTAACTAATTGTTTTTGATCACAATAAAGTTTGACGAATCTTTTATAATTATTTTTATTTACTTATTTTCTTGCCATATTTGATTGGATATAATATTCAAAAACAAAAAAACTAATTGAAATGCACGTTTTTACTGGATAGATGATAAGAATGTGAATGTGGATATATGTGTAGCATTTAACTTCATCTTCACTCACCACGCAGGTCACATCCCGACTGCGCTAACTTTCGTTTTTTTTAATTTACAGAAAACACAACAAATTGTGATCAAGCGACAAAATTTGTTTCTTTTATATATATATTCACTTCATCTTTCTAATATATGTACAGAATGTGTTGTTAGTCATGCAAAGCATTCATGGACAGCGAATCGAATTTCAATTCCAGGAGAAACGATAGCTGCTGGATTAAAAATAAGATTGAGTTGTAAGATGATATGTACGAAGTTTTTTAATATTTGTTCAACATGAATTTTAATTATTTAAATGCGCTTGAATTAAAGATGAGTAGAGTCATAAAAAAAACTTTGTTCTAGCTAATTTCAGTCTTTAGTATGCCTTTATTGGAAACTTCGTATTGTTTTGTAGATTACAATTATTTTTCTAACTGATAATTTCACTGTGGCAGTGTTTTTTTTATGGAATAATGAATAATCAAGTTGAAATGTAATTAAGAAAAGTGCAAAATGATCTTATTTTTTTAGAAAAGAAATTTCTTTCAGAAAAAAAGTTATGTAGCTCAAGTATATATACCATTGTAAAAATATTTGCATCCCATTTGAAAGCTATGATATGATGTCCTTGGTATTATCACATGGAATGTGTTTTTACACTGTGATTTGATTACCAGAATGAGAATACAATGGAGAAGTTATGTATTTTATTATTTTGTTTTTCTGTCTTGTCTTGTTAATTTTGTCGAGTAATTGTAATTAATTTAAAAACTGCTTACATACGAGATATTCTCTTTTAAAATAAACTGATGAAAAAGTCTAATTGAGACTAAACACTGTCAAACAGGAGCAAATTCTTTCATGATGAAGGAACAGTCATTTTTACAAGCACAAACTAATTATACTTTAATTCTACTTTGGTTAGTAAATACTAAGTTTTTGTCATGGAACTATGGTTTAAATATCTATCTTCTATGAAAGAGCTATTTTCAATATTATTGAAAATATAAAAAGTTGATAGTTTATGAAAAAAGCATTCTTTAAAAAGCAAAAGAAAAAAAATCATTAATTTTTATATAACAACAAACAACACTGCAGTAGTAAAGAATAAAAATAATCAAAACAAAGTAAGTAAAATATTAAATTGACTTCTACTTAACAAATATACTTTTTAAAGAAAAGGTAGAATAGGTAGTAGCGACATTTGACTAAAACCTGTAATAACTATAATTGTATTAAAGAAAAGAAGACGTAGTTATCAGTGTGCAATGTTTACATATTCTGATTACTAGATACAAAATTAATTTAGTATTGACAAGTAACAACAATAATTCACAAAAACAATGTTACAGAAATAAAATGAAATTTCGATCTTAGTTTTTTATGTTGGTGGTACTATGAAGCTCGTTTGGCTATCCATCTTGATGATTCCAATAACAATTCTTTTCTATTAAGCGTTATAACATTTTGTTTTTCATCTTTTTAAAATGAGTTTGGAAAGCAGAAAGATAATTTAAAATTTTAGCATTGTTTCATAAAATATTTGAATTAACTTTCAAATACTTTTCCCAACAAATCAAAAATTCATTCTAAATACCACATTATATGTATTCATAGAATCTATATTAAGGGTGTGAGTGTGGGTGTGGGTAAAGTCAAGCCTCATAACCACACGCTCCGACAGCCACGATCACACCCACACCCTAGTAATACATGTTTGATTAGGCAATGCTTCCTCCAATTTTTTAATATGATTTAAGGCAGGCGATGGTAAATTAACTTGATCTTTGCCAATGTCAATCTGGCAAAAAACCTCCTATAGTTTCAAACTGAATTTTCTATAAAATTTTACATAAATCACTCCATACAACACTCTAATGATACCATAAGTATAGGCATGTGTATAAATAGGACTGTAGTGACTAGGTGTGGTGTGGATTTGGGTGTCTGCTTCAGTTATGATCACATCTATATTCACTCCTGCACTCGCACCCACCCACACCCACACTACAATCCTCACTTTTCAGCTATTGAAAATAATGATTTTGGTCAAAAATATATTTCAGGTTTCGTGATTTACTTGTGTACCAATTTAATATAAAAGATTTAGATGAGTCTTTGATTCCATTTAGTATAGATAACATTTGAAGTGTCTTTACTGACATTCAGATATTATTTTGTTGCAATAGCAAACAAAATAATCAGTAGAGCTGTACATCATGTCCACCTAATATGCTTTTTACTAGTAAAACTATGTGTAAGCTGATTTGTAGCTTTTTTGTCAAGTCACAACTAGTCTAAGAATTTTGAAGGCAAATCGAATTGAGTTTCAAACAATACAGAGTCCAGGTAACAGAAAGTTTCACTATAATCTTGTAACTTTTATGTTTTATTGTTCAATACAATAAAATTCGCTTGTGTAAACTGGTTTACATAATGCTTCAATGGAATAAAACTGCTCTTGATATCCATTGTAACTTTTTGTGTCATCGTTTCCATCGACTTATAAAAAACTCTATTAAATAGGATGTTAAAACATTCTCTTTTGTGTGTTTCGGGGAATATTAAACAAACAGACGACAAGAAAGTAAAAAAAGATGTGTTTTTTTATAGAACGATTGTTTTTGTGCTTATGGTGTGTATGTGGGGCACGGCAGAAGATAGAACAAAGAAAAAAAGACTGTTGTTTAGAAATGTAAAAAAGACGATGCCGTTCCCAATAATTTGAAAGATGGGCAATGCATGAATAAAAATCGAATCGTTCAATTACACGCGGAACGATTATCTGAGAAATTTATAACTCTATTTCAATTGAATACATTTCTAGAAGAGCTTATCCACCATTTGTTCTACATGTTTGGTTGAATATTCACCAGAGCTTCTTATCATCACGAGAAAAAAATGACTTCGAATTACGATGGCTTTCAGAAAGATGCTTATGAAAACTAATAATGGAAATTTGAATCCAAGTATAGAAAACATTAGGTAAGTGAATGCTTAAAGTGTCAAATACTTAGTGGCACTCATCGGTCAGACACTAAAGAGCCATTAGACTTAGATAGATAGCAATGCAGAAGCCATTCCGACAGCTTGAATGGGTATGAACTCTGTTGATACAAATCTATATTCGTTGGAGAATAATCCGACCAGTTAATCACTAATATTTGAGCATTAAAAATTCAATCGTTCAACAACGGAATATTTGAAATTGATTTTGATCGTCGGTTTCAAGTTTGCATTATTATAACACCGATAGTAAAATATCGAACATCTCTGCATTTCGACACAATTGGGTTTCTTTCCGAAATTTCATTCACGTGAGTTATGTATTTTAAATTGAGATAAACTCAGAACGAATTCCCATTTCCAACATATCATATTTCTTCTCGAAAAAGAAACTATTATTAATGATCGAAATTTGTAACCCCAACTATGGTATAATAAATTTTCTTGATTTGATAATTACTTACTAATTGCTCTCGTTTAATAACTGTAAAAAGTCGTCTTATTGAAACAAAATTTTTCATGAGCGATTGAAAATGAACTATATTTTCTTATATTTCTCTTTTTTTTTTCAAAGTTATTTTCACTAATAACGAAAGTAAACCCACGATCTAATATTTGAAAGTCTAAAGCAATCAGTTAGATTAACGTCATATCAGGATCCCTCACTAGCAAACTCTCTAAAAAAAGAAAAACTTCAGTTCCTATTTACAGTCCAAATTCAATGCTTGCCATTTATCATCATCCACAGACGTAACTAGTCATCAAATTTCTCCTAACAATCGCACTGACGAAAAATCATTCACCGAAATAATACACGACTGTGCATTGTACTTCAGTCACTTGAATCGAAGATATCAATTGCATTCTCGACTGGATCTAAACTTGATTCATCCTTTTCACATACCTCATCTGCTTCATCACTCATATTGCATTCGTTATCAATGCATCGTCAACACGACGACGTACAATCTAATATTGTCTCACTGTGTAATGCCACCTCTTTCTTTTCTCATATGATATGACAAAACTTAACGTTATCTTTGCAAAGTATCATGACAATGCGAATGTTATCACACCTATATAAATGCACCTAGCAATTGCACTTCTAGAAAATCATATTTCGTCGACAAACAAGAGTATCATCATTAAATAAGTTACAAGAGCAATGAAGGTAATTTTCGCTGTTTGCGTTCTCTTCGTTGGTGTTTATTGTGTACCTGTGCTCGATGAACAACTCAATAATGAATGGGCTTTATTCAAACGTGTTCATCAAAAACAATATAACTCTGTTGAAGAAGAAGCTAATCGGTATGTGAATCAACTGTTCAATTTTTCAAGATCAACTATATTGTTTGTCTTCTTTCTATTATAGTCGAACCATTTGGGAAGCTAACCTTGTTAAAATCCGAAAACATAATCTTGAAGCTGATTTAGGTATTCATACCTACACTTTAGGAATGAACCGATTTGGTGACATGGTAGGATATTTCTTCTTTACATCATGATACATTAAAGCATATCGTGTTGATTTATTTAGACTCATGAAGAATTCAAAAAACAAATGAATGGATTCAGAATGCCAGCTACCACTCAAACAGATGAATTCGATCGTCACACATTCTTAGCACCATCAAATGTTGCCATTCCAGATGCTGTTGGTATGTTGTCATTATATTGATTTTCTCTAGAAAACAAAAATAATTACTATTCAATGTTTTATATAGATTGGCGCAAACAAGGTTATGTAACACCAATTAAAGATCAAGGTCAATGTGGATCATGTTGGGCTTTCTCAGCTACTGGTTCACTTGAAGGTCAACATTTTGCCAAAACGAAAAAACTCGTTTCACTTTCTGAACAAAACTTGGTTGATTGCTCAGACAAATTCGGTAACATGGGATGTGATGGTGGTTTGATGGATCAAGCTTTTCAATATATTAAAGCTAACAAAGGTATTGATACTGAAGATAGCTACCCATATGAAGCTCGTGATGGACGATGCCGATTCAAAAAAGAAAATATTGGCGCCACTGATACTGTAAGTCTTCGTTTTTGTATTACAATTAGCGAATATTAGATGATCAATGTTGATGGTTTCTTTTTCTAGGGCTTTGTTGATATTAAATCAATGAACGAAACCGCTCTTCAAACTGCTATTGCCACTGTTGGTCCAATTTCAGTCGGTATCGATGCTTCACAAGATTCATTTCAATTCTACAGTTCAGGTGTTTACAATGAACCAGATTGCTCATCAACAGAACTTGATCATGGTGTCTTAGCTGTTGGTTACGACAAATCAGGCAAACAAGAATACTATATCGTTAAAAACTCATGGGGAACATCGTGGGGTCAAGAAGGTTACATCTGGATGAGTCGTAATAAGAAAAACCAATGTGGTATTGCTACAGCAGCCAGCTATCCTCTTGTTTAAGTCGATGAATACCCAATGAAAGTATAAACTGTAAAATATCTAATATTGAATCAATAACAGTTGTGTAATTATTTGCCTATTTGATAATAGCTCAACGTAATAAATTGAAAGATAAGCTAAAAACAGTAATTCGCATTCAAGAATTGATTCAGCTCCGTGTGAAATATTTGCGACAACGTTGACAATGAGAGAATGGAGGCTTGAGAACAAGCTGATAGAATGAAAGCGAGAAAGTCATAAAGCATGGATTTCGTTTTCAATGTTGAATGTAGAATGCTTCTTGACAAATTTTTTCAACTTGTGAATCTAGTTCGTGCTGTTTATTAAAAGATGACTGAAAGTAGAAAAATTAATAGCCAACTTTATGCTGCTGAGTAGGTTAACTAGCATGGAAGTCTCCTCTCTTGAACCACTGATCTTCTTGTTGTTGACATGCTTGTCAGGACTCCGATCAACAACTTGCTTCCGACTGTCAAGCATAATCTAGAAATAAGTGAGTGTTTGTCGCGCTCATTGAATTGTATGAGTGCATATGTGAAATTTTTTTTTGTAAAGTTAATCGCCTTCAGTCGCTATTAAAATGTGCTAAGATGTAAAACTCAGACGTAATACTCCTAAGATCTGACGAAATCGAATGAAAAATGATTTTGTTTCAATTGCTTACATCTAGTCATGTTGTACGATATGTGTATGATCTTACCATCATATAATTTTTTCGATGATCCTATAAAAGTATTATAGGCACCAAGATCTTGCCCACTTTTCACAATAGCACTACAGGTAAGTTTTTCCGGCTCTACGATGTTTCTTATGATTTTCGTCTGATCCTGTAAGACCACAGAATGCCAGAGATAATATCTTGAGGATCGCATCTGGGAACTTTTTTATATAGGTGGAAAATGAAAGTTATCAGTTGATGCTTTTGTTATATGGTGATACATGAACGAATCTGAAAAAAGACTACGAATAGTTCAAATGGTACGTCCTAGAATACCCTGTGATGGTGATATACTATACCATTGAGATCGATTATCGCTTAATTAATAGCTGAAGCAAGATAGACAAAAGCGAATGAAATTCATTCTGATTTGTACTACAGAATTCGAAGATTTAGAAACAAAAGATATCTTATAAGAAGATGTTCTGACTTTTATCGGGCTCGTGTAGATAGCCCGCTTTTTTTCAGTCGTACATTTCCTGAGTGACAGTCTGATTCTTGGTCTGTTCTTTCTGTTTTTATTTATCTATTTTCCGTCATTCATTGAAATGTAAAGATAATTGTTAGAATTAGAATCATTATAATCTATGATACGCTTTTCCACCTACGGCTTAACATGTGG